TCATTCTATTCAGAGTGTCATTTTTTATCGAATAAAGTAGCAATATACCGAGGGTGCCTTTAAAAATCAAAAGATGTAATCATTTCGGTGAAACAGGAAGAGACCAAAAACAATTGAATACGTCAATAAATCCTAATTTATGTCATATACCTACTAACATACAAATCTGTTTTTTTATCTGAAAAAATAAAAAAAAGTTATAGGGGTGAGCCACTTTTGAGACGACCCGGTATATCAAAAAATATTGTTTCATAATGTAATATCATTTTAAAATTCTTGTATGTTATTTTAGATTCTGAAGATAATTTTAGAATAAACCGGAATATATTTTTAATAAAAACATTATTAATTATTAACAGGGTTATAATTATGATTTTGTTACAATGTAAGTAAGTAAATAATGTAATGTAAAAGAAAAATTCAGATTTTACATTTTACTAAAATATTATCTAAATAAGCGCCTTTCTACAACAACGCCACTGACTCCCAATGGGTAAATTGAGAGTTGCCTACCGGTCAAAAGTCGTTTCAAGACTTAAATGGATTATTTAAGTCAAATTTCTTGCAAATTTGGCACTGGCGAACCATATTTTATAGTTTTTGAACAGAAAAAGTCAATAAAATAAACACTTAAGGACTACAAGCTAAGAAAATGCGTTAATACAGCCGGAGATAGCGGCAACAAAGCTTTACCGCACACGTGCCACACGTACTACAAGGTAATAAATGAATGAATAGGCTCCCTCGCCTCTAATCGGTGTTGTCATATTGTAAAGAACTTATACTTATTAAACAGTATCCGACTTATAATTTAATACATCTATGGAATATTAAAACCTACTTTATTAAACTGTAGTATTAATATCTCAATATATGTGTATAACAAGAAAAAAAATATTGATAATATTAAAGACGTGACAACATAGGCTGGATGAGGAAGGCTCGGTCGACTGTACCCAGAAGTAAACATGTGTACAAAAAAAGTTGTTTGTCCGCGTTGAGATGTAAATAGTGTAGTCTATATTTTATTTTAAGTCTATGGGAAGTACACATTGGTCGAATGTTTTCTTCTTTACATAGAGTGGCATTCTAGATTTGAATATGATTGAATTTCTTCCATAAGTACTCCATGCTAACTTAATTCTTCTGTTGACTTGATCTTCTTTGATTCTTGATTAAATATCAAGAATAAATAAATTCCTTAAATACCATACAATCGAAAAAACGGCATCAAAGATGGCTGGGGAATGACCATCGATGATAAATTTGACTTTTAACACAGTAGATAGTGTAAAAAATAGCTGCTTTTGCACGATCGTAGAAAAATTATTTTTAAATGGTGTAGTTTAATACGAAAAAAAATTGTGCCTTTGGAAACACTTTTGTACGCCGACTGATAAAAAAAATACATTATAATTGTTAAAATCAAAGCCCGCTGGATCATAAAACTTTTTTGGTCGCGCAGTATGTCGTGGGGTATTCTTGGAAAGCTAGTGAGGTTGTCTTCGACGTAAAATATAACGATTTCTTTGACGTTAAATTGTCATTTCACACCGTCAAATAATTTGTACATGACATTTAATCAAAAAGAATCAAATGTAACTAACTGGCCAGATATAAAACCTCTCTATAAAAGAATATTTGTTTTTAGGTGCGTTTTTACCTACAATCTGCAATGACTAGTAATTTTCATAAAAAAAACTAAGATTACAAATCAATAGAAAGCTTAAATTATTTGATGAAATACTGCAAATTTACTACAAATATTTAGTATATTTTTAGTACTTCAGCGGTAAATATTTTTCATTTCAGACATGCTAGTTGTAGTGTTACATAGATGGCAAAAAATTATAATAATTTTATTGTTTCAAATGTGGGTCACTAAACGGTTTAAATCGTTACATGCAACTGTGTGTGCTGAAATCTTCTACAGAACAGATTGTCAATATTTTTATACCTTTTGAGAGGACAGTCGTAAAAATGTATCACATTTTATTGGGATACTCTAAATTTTAAATTTATATCTGTAAAAATATGTTTTTATTTTTATATACCGCCGTCGCGCGTCGGTGGTACAACAGATGTTATCTTGAAAATGTGTATTTGCAAAAAAAAAGTTACGTTAAGTTTATAGCTTTTTAATTTATATATGTTTTATAACACTACATTCCACGAAACTAGCCATACTAAAATAGGGTACATTTCTTGACGTATGCCAGTGTGGGACATGATTTTTTCTTACTATTTGAAATAAAAACAAGCACCTTGTATTTTATAGCAGAAATGAACAAAGTTATGACATTATGAAGTTATGTATCTGTATGAACTTTTTATTCTATAGCACAACCGTTAATAGATACATTTATTAGTGATAAATACTTTTTCACTTTTTAACTTGATGTATTTTTAATTTTTTTTAAGCATCACTAATCTATAGAAATATATTGGGCCGAGTGAATAAAAACTAAGCTTTTGCTTTTAGTATTAAGTAAAAGCTTTAGCTTTTGCTAATAGCATTTGCTGAAATTGAAGTGAATAACCTTTTGCTTTTAGGAAAAGCTAGATATTTTAAGTATTTACTTAAAAATCTTATTTGGTAAATCATTTAAAAAAAAATGTTTTATACTGATAAGGCCTATATTTATTAGGTTTACGTTCAAAATAAGTAGTGATTCAGAAAATTCTACAACTGATTTTTTTGGCTGAGGAAGTTCCTGCAAAAATTTCGACCAACTTGAAGCCCTTCATCGCCTAAAATAAGTCCATAGTTCTGTTGACGTCTTCTCATCATACCAAAAATATTTGATCTCCTTAAAATACGACTGTCGTGCACCGAACCAGACCATTGAGCAACTACGGATGTAAAAACTTCTTTTCCGTTACAAGTTGCTTACACATTTATACTACACCAGCCTTTCGTATTGATATACTCGTCACCATGTAGCGATGGCTTTATTATTGGTACATGAGTGCAATCAATTGCACCAGCACAGGGAAATCTATACAGCTCTGCCCATTCGTTAATTGCCTGGTAAGTCGAGTTTTCTGTAGGAAATTTAATCGAACTTCCTGCCTTGTAACTATTTTTGGTAAAACGTGAGATATCGTTTTACATATTGTTGTTCTATGAACTCCTTCTTCTTTTCCGATCCCTATTTGAAATCCAGGATCACTTAAAAATCGCAAAAATATTTGCATTTGTTTTTTTGGACTCAATGCACCACCTCTTGTTTTAACTTTTGGCTCCAAAAAATGGCTATCTACTCAACATTTTCTTTACTAAATCTATACAGACCGTGGTATTCTTCGGCACGACTTTCTTTTCTTTCGGGATAAAATTTTACAGATCTTATATTCATAAAAGCAGCCATTTCTGCCAAACTGTTCTGCCACTGTTCACTGGCAGAACAGTCAACAAACTGTTCTGCCAAACAATACTAAATTTCTAAGCCAGGGTTTAACAAGCTTGCAAAAATGTAAGCTTTTCCTTAATATTCTTAGTAATTGCTTACTTTTATTCACACCATTTTTAGACAATGCTAAAAACTTTAGCTTTTGCTAATTGCATTTTTAGTAAAAGCTAATACTTATTTTTATTCACTGCAAACTAAGCATTTGCTAGGAAAGTGTAAGTTTTAGCTTTCACTAAATGTTTATTCACACTGCCCGTTAGCATATACCAGGTGTTCCTGGTTGAGCTTTCATTAGAATTTTCTAGAAAACTAAAATATCTATATCGGAGTTTTTTTTTGCACATCAATGGTATCACAGTAAAATTTCACGATTAAAAATAGTTGCAAAATGCGGCGTATCCGGTCTATCCATGTACTAACTATACTAACCATCCAAGTACCGGAAGTTGACAGAAACTTTCTTAATTTAAATGGACACTCCCATAGATTAAAATTCTCTGTAATATTTTATGAATTATCTAAAATTAACCATTCTTGAGAAAAAATCTTACTTAAACTCTTTGTAGCTAAAAACTGTCTAGCAAAGAAAAATTTCACCCTGTATATAGAAATATCGACTCAGCTAATAAATAATAAAACAGAGTAGTCTAACCATAGGTGTTTACCCTAATTACTTATTTTTTTATGTATATTTTATTTTTTGTTTGCATGTCCTTCAGTTCGTTTATTTTGGATAATTATTGCTTTATTCTTAGACGTTAACACGAACTTGAATTTCAGAGTTTGGCATGTAACCTTCAAATTATTTTTAATATTATGAATTACAGTATAAAAAAAATCCAGTGTTTCAGATGTATTACTTCTAAATCACCATTTAATTTGCTATCATACAAAGATTATATCCTGTATTTTTAAATCGTTATTTTAGAATTCTAACTATGAATCAAGGTCGCTGCCACACCAGCTGTGCTCTTAATAATAATAAAATGCCGAAAGGTTAATCATCTTTATTTTTTAAATGTCATATTTTTATTTGTTCCATCACAAAAATTTAGAATACTAAAAGCATATATTCAATTAGAAAAATAATCGGTCTATTGAATTTTTTACACTAATTGATTAAATATTATACAGGATTTTTTTTCATTCAAAATTGCGCCTTTGCTTCAAATGGAAAACTCTATTTTCTTTATTTTTTTATTTTATTCATCACTACAAAATTGGTTATGTATAGTAGTATATCACTATTATCCAGTGGCACATCTAGAGATTCACTCTGGGAAGGGGAGTGCCGTAGTGCCAGTATTTAATTATAGTACTGGATTTCCTGTTTTGATTGGTATTATTAATTTCTTTTGTGGCAATTGTATGTTATACCACGTTTTAACTTACTCTTAAATGTCTTCCTAGAAGGGGTAATTACTCCCGTTACCCCTCCCCTATATGCGCCCCTGCTAATACCAAGGTCTCTAGTACCTTCTAAGAAGTCTAATTAATTTTTTACAGAATAGTCTATTTGAAAAAATTAATTTGTTTGTTATAAATCTGTGCAATCTTTGATTTTTACAATTTTTGTTTTTATTTCAGATATTTTTGCTTCTCTTCCTGTGCCTTTACCTGGCCAGTTTTGCTCTGTTAGGCCGATTCAGACGAAAAGGGAAGGAAGATTATTACAGTAGCGATGAAGACGAAATAATCGTTTATAGAATAAGTAGTTGGCTGTGCACGTTTTCATTGGCTGTTTCTATAGGAGCGGTTCTATTGTTACCCATATCAATTATTTCCAACGAAGTATTGGTTAATTATCCTAATAGCTATTATATAAAATGGCTCAATTCGTCGCTTATACAGGGTGAGTATATACCGGGTGCGTCTCAAGAGTTGACATATGCTATGAAGTAATAAAATACCATGAGTGTACTTTAAAAATCAAAAGTGACTGAAAACAATTGAATAGGATAACAATTGAACCTACGTCAATCAATCCTAATTTATGTCATATACTAACATACCAAATTTCGTTTTTTTATCTAAAACAATAAAAAGTTATAGGGGTGAGCCACTTTTGGGACGAACCAGATAAAATTAAAAAATCAGAATAAAAAAATCACGGTTTGTATAATTAATTTTGCCATGACTGTCTCATTTTGAAAGTATTGGCATAAAACTTTTTTTTGGCGGCTAAAGATAAAATATACTAAAACTTATAAATTTGACTGATTGTCAAAACACTGTTTTGTTAACTCATATCAGGATGCAAATTTAAATTTGGCAGTTACTAATATTGTGTTTAATAGCTTATTACTCAAACAAAAATAATTAGTAAAATCTACCAGAAACCTCTAACCCAGATGTCTTAGTTTAATTTCGCCACAAGAACAGATCAAAAAATATTTTTTTGTAAAGTACCTAAAGTACCATTGCGTTAAAATCCAAACGGTCTAAAATTGCCTAACCAACAAAAAACGTTTCAGGAGGTATATCTCCACGTCGTCAGAAGCAATTTAGTTTTTTTTTGCTTCATAGAATCTTCTTATATTCGTAAAACTATTGACATTCTGATGGACTGTGATTTCTTATTATTATGATTAGGGATTCATCAAATCAAGTAGCCTAATGTTTTTAGAAACTACTTGACTTAAAAAACCAAGTATTTTAAAATCTCACTACTTGACTTGACTTGATTTTCAATCGTTATTACTTGGCTTGATATCAAGCGGTTTCAAGCTACTTGATATTACTTGATTGCATCTTGTCGCACTGCGCATCCTATAATAGTGATTGGACATCGGTCATCTAACATCAATGATAATATCACTTAATATTATGGATGCTGATAAAACATCGGTTGAAAAATATCGAGGTTTTAAAACATCAATGGTCAGTCTTGACACTAATAAAAATAAAATACTTGGCCTTTTAACGCCATTGAAGTTACAAGTGTGAAGTGTGTCCAAAATCTTTATCATATGGCCTAACTATATATAGATAAAGCACTTGACCAAATCATAATCCACCTTTTGATATGGTTTCATTGCTTTTTAAAAAACAACGCATCAGCAAATTCAAAGTGACATTTGTAAATTAAGTGATACTAATATGAAATCTCAAAACTATTTGCATACAAAAATGGTTTAATTTTGCCTTTATAGTTGAATCTACACAACTTTGGAAACAAGTGGCTACAGGACGAGACTTTTGCTTACACAGACTCGCTACGCTAATCATATACTGTTTTCTTAATGCACGAAAATTTGAATTTGGCGCCACTATTTGTGTTGGTAGCGAATTTAAAACCGACAGGCGTTTGTCAAACTTCACTTTTAAAAAGTCACGCGTTCCCAAAGTTGTGTTGGTTATCTATTTACGTTAATAAATAGTTTCTTACTCTATTTGGTTTTTATTGTTGTTTTAATTCTTGTTAACATTAGAATTTAGTTTTTTCAATAAAGTTTATTATTGCAGGATTTTGTGGTTGATTAAAAATATCAAATGAAACTTAATACAAAGTGAAGTAATCAAGTAGCTTGACAAAAATCAAGTAGTTGTGAGCAATTGCTTGACTTTTCAAGTACTTGAAATTGTAACTACTTGACTTGATTTCAGGTCAAGTCAAGTCAGGTCAAGTAGTGAAACACTTCTTCGTATTTTTGGAATTAAAATAACTTCATTTGACACAATTTACCTCTATACAAAAGTGCCTCGTTTGTCCGGTAGGGGGCATCAAACTTTAAAAAAAACAAACACACCTTTTAAGATATTTTAAGAACCGATATTCCGATTGGAATGAGATTTGGGGTGCCTATGTTTTTCTAAGCGCATTAACATTTGACTCTCACAACGATCGACAAAAAGTACGGGAAGGGTGAAAACTACCCCCACCCCTACATAAATTTTAGCAGACCCCGATTTTTTTTCGTAAAATGGTCCTTCTAGTATTTTCTACATTTTTTGTCTCTTGTAAAAAATCGCCATCGCGCATACTTTTTGAGGTCAAAGTTTATGGCACTAACGATTGTCTTGACGCACTCAGTGATGGTGTCCTGGTGTTTATCCATTTTCCCTACAGAATCTGCATTCGCCGTTGTTTCTTAGCTTCATTCTACTAAGGTGTTCGTTGAGGAGACAGTGTCCTGTTAGAAACCCCGTGACAATCCGAAGATTGTTCTTACTTAAATCAAGGAATATTTTTGATTTTTCTCGGTCGTAAGTTCTGAGAAACTTTTTAGAGTGCTTCAGACCGTTGGAGGATTCCCATTCCAGGTTTCGGATCGAATCTTCCTGATTCTTGAGTTCCGCTTTAAGTTGGTTTCCGCTTGGAAAGCAGAACGGTTCTGGTCCAGTTAGTGGAGGGATAAAGACCTTGCTATATCTGTATCCCTGTCTTTATTTTCCCTGATCCAAAGTTTTACTACCCCCCCCCCTTGTTTTTTTTTCTCGTTGTTTCAGACTTTATTTTCTATGTTCTCTTTTGTAACCCTCATTAACAAATCTGCATCGAAAATATTTTAGACCCCTTGTATATTTTGATGTCTCGGGCTGAATTGACCAGTAGGCGCCTATGGTCGGTCAATGTCAAGTTATTATTAATTAGAGATAAAGTGTTATAGGAATAATTAAAAATATTTCTGCTTGAACATCTATAAATAGCAGAACAAGAGATTAGAGGCCAGTAAACATTTGAAAAGTGTTAATTGCGTCAGTTACTGGTATATATAAATATATTTTTTACGAATTCTAAAAAAGACTAAAAGAAAAATGCTTTGCAAACACTTTAAATACGTTTTAAAATATATATGTTGTTTTTGTTTAACCTTGACTGATATAAGCTGTCATTAGGTAAACTTCCTTTTTGAATTAATAACAGTAACTACAAGGGTGATTATTTGGTATCGCTTTAAAATGTTGATATACAGAGTGTCCCACAATTAGTGAGACTTGTGTGTCATCATCAGAATGGACGGCACTTTGAGCAGTTTTTGTAAATGTTTTGGATAAATAATGCAACTTGAAATTTACGTTTCACTCCACCTCCTGCCAAAACGGCACATTTCCGGACATGGGTTCCTATACTCAAATGACTTGTTTTGATGTGCTCTACAACCCCTTTCAGTTTGTCGTACTAATTGTGGGACACCCTGAATTTTTATTATCAATTAAATGATTTTAAAATAAAGTAATTTTTTTAAGTATATTTTGAGGTATACCCCTTAAGGCGTAAACGTTTTTATTGGTTGGAGCGTGTAACGAGTTTATAGGTTATAGTTAAGTAAAGAGCTATATCGGGGGATTGGTTGGTGGAAACGGCACATAAGCTTAAGAATTGGCAAGGGCCGGGGCTGGTTGCAGTGAAGGGAGAAAACATCCCAAAGGGGCAACAATCACGGTCTTTCTGCCGAGGAGCAAGGAGAAAGATACCATCTACCTGTTAAGCCTTATCCAGATTCAGAACTCCAATGTAAGGACATCGAGTTGGCGAGTCATCAACTCGAGGGAGGAGGGTCATGGTCAGGTCCTCACTCTAAGAAATGACCTCAACTCCAAGGAGGCAATAGAGAAAGACGGATATATCCTCTATTATAGATTCGGGACAACACCGGTATCAGGTCTAAGGATAGGCCAAGTTAAGGAGACAGATCCTCCAGCTTCCACCTCACGGGTACATCAGCCGGAGACAAGCTCCTCGACTGTGAAGGGCACGGAAGGCCAAACCCCAACCGAGGGAGGGGGAATGCCTTCGGACAATGAACATCTACTGTCTGAGGAGGATGGGAAATACTCTGTTCCCCCTACAACAGGAAAATCCTCAACTATGATGGGTTATAGACTGTATGATGAGTTAACTGAAGGACGGGGGACACAATAGATTTTTAAGAGCGCAGTAATTAACCCCCATCCCACTCATTCTACATTCTACAAGTAAAGAGCTACTGAGACATTTCACATCCGTGAACTCCAAATCCAATGGTCTTTTCAGAAAAAAATGTTATTTCAATTTCTTATTTTGGTTTCTGTGACGATATTTCCAAATGAAAGTTAAGTTATAAAATGCTAAAATTTTAGGAATAAAACTCGTTTATATAAATATTTTTTAATTAAAAATTTAAAACTCTTTAGACAGCTAAAATTAGATTATGAAGTGATCTTCCAGTATATCGCTTTGAAACTATAAACAAAATACTTGGAATGGATTTTTTCCATAAAATTGCGTTTTATTTGATTATGTTATACCACGTTATTAGTTTTAATACTAACACATAAATATTATCTAATATTTTGTAAAGTAATATTATTGAAAATAATAATTTTAATAATATTGAAAGTAATAATCATGGAAATATTTCAGGTCTATGGAACTACGTATTTTTGTTTTCAAACTTGTCCATGTTTGTGCTGCTACCGTTCGCTTATCTCTTCACCGAATCTGAGGGATTTTTTGGCCAAAGAAAAAGACTTTGGGCGAGAGTGTACGAAACTTTCGTCGTTTTAACTCTTTTAACTGTTGTTGTACTGGGCATGACGTATGTCCTTTCAGCTTTGTTTAACGAAGAAGAAGCCAGCTTAATACCCATATTCAGTAAGTTTAATTTTTGTTTGCATTCGGGTATTTACGGATTTTGTTAATCTAATAGTGGGTACAAGTAAGGATGGGATTATTTTATCCATAATTATCTAAAATTTCTGATTTAAAGCTCAAACGCACTGACGACCAGGTCGCAGCGACCAGTATATGATTTAATGGTATTACTGGTCACAGCAATCAAGCTGAGACCGCTTGATTTATTTTTTTTCATCATTTGATTTAATGGCCTGGCCATTGGCTGGTCGCTGCGACCTGGTCGTCAGTGCGTTTGAGCTCTTATGAAATTTTTTTCATAGATTTTTTATTTTAATACTAGTACATTTTCTAATGTACATGTGTTTTTTAGATTTATGGAGCTACCTCCCTTTTTTATACTCCTGCATATCGTTTCTAGGAGTTCTTATTTTATTAGGTAAGTTTAATTTATTTTACACAAATGCCTCGATTTTTACTTAACAATTATGAATGAACTAATACAATGAATTTACTATACAATTAGTTAAAAACATTAGAATGTGCATAAAATCTTTAAGTAGTAAGTTAACTACATCCAAAATATGACAGAAAATGTAATTTACCTGTGAATTAAAATGACAGACAATTGTGACTGTCATGTATCATCTCATTGAACAGATTGCAGTTTCTGACTTGTTATTTAAATTTGAAAAAAAAATGACTCTGTAGTGATTTTTTTTCACTGTTTTTGTTCATTTTTTACAAACTGTTTACGTAAAAGTATGCATTAAAAAACTTTGTGATGACAAGGGATACTATTTCCCATACTATCCAGAGTTAAATGCATTTATTTTTATATTACCTCTAATTCAATATTTGAGGGGTTCAGTATTTAAACTAGTCTTGTCCGTTTTTGGTAATTTTGATATGACAACCCAAGTAGCATTTTTAGACACAAAATCGAAGCAAAATCTCTGCTGAGAAACATTGCGAAACAGTATCGAAACTATGATGGTGTTTGTGTCAAAACACAAGAGTTCTGAAATTACTTCAACAGATTTTTGATACATATGTTTTGTAACACAAATCGCTTTTTATTTCGAAACATTGCATAAAATGTGTTCAAAAATGCTACTTGGGAAGTTTTGCTGACAATATATGCATGGATAAGATTAGTTTTAGAACATGTATGTAATATATGCCTTCATGTAAATTATACAGGATAGAATGACTTATGCCACAAAAAGTATACTGAATATTGTGCAAGGCGGCCAATATTAGAGTATAAATATTTTAACTCAAAATTACCAAAAAATGGATAAGAAGATTTTTGATACTCAACTCTTCATTTGTTACAGTTCATACAGTTCCTTTAAAATTAAAAGATTGAATTAAGATAGAACATTTGCCAAACTTAAATACAGCCTGGCAATATACTGGCCACACCTGTCGTCGTTATAGTTCTCATATAATGTTTCCCACTAATACATCTCGAAAACGAGTTTTAACACTTAATTACAAAGTATAATGAAACTAAATTACATTATTTTGGCACCAACGCTAAACTAATTAATCATGTAAATGAATAAAACGAATCATATAAATGGAATTCAGAAGCATGGCTAATTAAAACTCTGTACAACCATCGTTCAGTGTTACGCCATCTATTATCGTACATTTCCTTTCACGTGAAAACGTAATGAAATAGATTGTAGACCTTCATTGCGGCATCTGTTGAGTGTAAAGCACTGCTCATTGCTTCTAGTATCAGTGTCAAAATTAAAATTTGATTGTGCTGTCAAACAAAATTCTAAAGTAAAAATAGAAACACAATCAAAATGAATATCGCCAAACATGCCTACTTAAAAACAGTAACTTCGGAACGCACCCTCATTTACTAAATTCTGAATGTACTGGAAATCTCAGACTCACCATAAAACAGGTATTAGATAAATAATAATGACGTAACGTTGAACGATCGTTGAACTAATTATCGCATCTGTAGTTCATTTTCTGGTTTTGACTTCAAATTTATTTTTGCTGGTTTTCTATTTTTTCAGTATGCACCCCCTTAGGTTTTGTACGTCTATTCGACGTAGTCGGAATTTTTTTAATAAAGCCTCAATTTTTACACGATATAAATGAAGATTATTTCGCTTATGCTATAGAAGAAGAATGCTTAAACAGAAGACTGAAACAAGTCCAATCCACAGGTGTGTTAAATTATTTTTGTGATTTTTTTTTCAAACAAGTGCCTATTTCAGGGCATTTCTTTCTGAGTCCAGAGCCAATGGCTGTTGATGACAGTCCTATTTATAATGACGAATATAAGTTAGATGACTGTTTCTTGCGTTTGAGAAATGGGGAGTTACAGAACGGTTTAAGTGTGAAGTTAAAAGAGATTGCCCAGAAACGATTTCTTCTTGGTAATGTTCAATAGACTGTTTAAATTAATTCTTATTTATTATTAATATATTGTAGATAAGCAAAGAAAGACCTCATCGCTCAGAAGAAATGTTGTATATCCCATAGCCATGTTACTTTTAATAGGTTTAACAATAATTGCTGTTTTGTTAGTTGTGCAAAACACTCTGTCATTGTTAATAGGAATCAAGGCTTTGCCAAGTAGTTCAAAGGTATGTACAAGAAAATTTAATAAATTTTTGGAAATAGTTAGCCACTATTATATACAGTAGTTCCAGAAAGTTTAAAAAATTTATTTTTTTATGAATTATTATAAACAACTTTATGCAGAATCAATTAGCGTACCAAATAACAAACTTTGTCCACGACCACTTAATAATAAATCAATATTCTACTTCCTAGCTGAAGGAATATGGTGTCCATATTTGTAATAGAGTGAAATATAACAGCTGATAACAGTGAATTATGATAAATCACACTTTGCATTTACTTTACATTTGTTGCTATGCCAACGTGACACTCACAACATCCCGATGCGCGGCGTGGATGATTTGACGTTTTTCTTATCTTTTCTTTTTATTAATTTTGACGTTTAAAATTGTCAAATGTTAACTAGGTAGTGATTATTAAGTGGCATATCAAGAACGCGTTTAAAATCAAAAAATGAATTATGAGAGTGCATAATGAGCCCTGTACCCAGACAAACAAATAAAAAGAGACTGACAAATCTCATGGTAAAGAGTGGGACCGCGTTCCCGTAGCGCAACTCAGAATAACAATTTTGAAACCAATTAGCAGGACCATAGCAAGACGTACGTCTTTATTGCTATCTTTCTTTATTATGTGTGCTTTATATGAAAAAGAAAGAGATAGGTATAAAACGTATCGTAAGACATTATCGCACATTCTGGCTGGCGGAAAATTTAAATTAGCCATTATTAGTAGTATTCTTTCATTCTGAAACTGAAAATTTTCACTTAAACTGATTTATTCCCTATACCACGTAAAGGGAACGTGGTGTAGGGAATAAATCAAAGTGAAAATTTGCAGTTTCTTTCAGAACGAAAGAATACTACTATTATAAGGGAAATTATAAAAAAAGCAAAAATTGTACTGTTTTATTAACATATTTATTTATACATAAAAATAAATAAACTTTTTATAATATAATAACAAAAAATAGCAGTGTTTATTCCACCCACCTACCAATTTTAAATGCAGAAGAACTGACTGTTGCAGAAAACGATCGGCCAATTTTTTTTAAGGGCATTAAAAATCTAATTTTCGAAAAAACTGCCTAATTGCAATAACCAAGTGAATATCCAAGCAAAGAAGACTTTATAGTACGAGAGCTAGCAACGTCGGAAAAACAAGTATTTTAAGACGTCTGGCTCCTTGATACATCTTTTACTATGCTCTCTAGAACAGCATGCGGCCCGTCTGGCTGCCGGTAAATGTTGCGTTCCCTACTGCGCATTGAAAGAAGATCCTATATTTTTATTAGTCCTTTAAATTCTAGTATATAATATAAATCGAAGATGTCTCCACAGCGCAGTGCGTAGAGTTTCCGACCACGAACCGAAGATTCAGAGTTCAAATCCGGGTGGAGAGTGCGCTATGGAGACATGTTCGATTTATATTCAATAGCAGAATTTATAGAACTAAAATTAATAAAAAATATAGGATATTCTTCCGATGCGCAGTAGTAAACGCAACGGGTATGGGCAACCAGACGGGCCGTATGCTGTTCCAGGGAGCATAGTAAAAGATATATCAAAAAGCCAGATATCTTAAAAGATAACATCAAGCAGATCAACATAAATAGAACGAAATTTTGCGTTCTGAGTTGCGCTACGGGAACGTTGTCCCTCTCTTTGCCATTTAATTTGCCAGTCTCTTTTTATTTGTTTGTCTATGCCTGTACCCCACCAGAGACAGCAGAGGCGGCCAAATTAGCAAGTCTTGGATTGCTTACCAAACCACAAAAGTCTAAGGCTCATTACATGTCTGCCTATAAAAACTTTCTAGACTGGAGGATTGCTAAAGGCATAAATTCGTTTTCCGAATCCGTGTTATTAGTATATTTAGTTGCCATTGTAACAGAACAAAAATCAATCTCCTGATTGACTAAAGAACGTTGGTACGATATTTTCATGCAAAGAACTTGAAATAATATCAATGAAATTCAAATACATGTATAACTTTAAATAAAACACAAATTACCAACTTTAGTTACACAAAACAACAAAAAGTCAGATGCTGGTACTCCAATTTATCGTTCTCCAACAACTGTACTCCACTAAAGTTGGTAGAAGTATGTTTTATATGCAAAAAACTTGAAGCAGCATCAATAAAATTCAAATACATATATAACAATAAATAAAACACAAATTACCAACTTTAGTTACACAAAACAACAAAACGTCAGCTGCTGGTGGTACGATCTATCATTTTTTAACAAATTTATTTTACTAAAGGTGGTAGAAAAAAGTACTAATATACAGGTATGTCGTAAAACACATCTAATAATAAACTTCCCATATATTTGAAAATTGAATAGTTTGAGATGACTGTGACTCTCGATGCATAGCAACTTATGATATTGACGTTTTTATTATCTTTTAGTTAATTTTGACGTTTGAAATTGCCAAATTTTAAGTAGGTAGTGACATTTTCCCCTAAAACATGAATACAATAATTAATAGTAAGATTAACATTAAAAATACAAATTCAAACACTCCTCGTAATTATTATAATGGCCGTGGACAAAGTATAGAATTCAACTCGCAATTTATAGCCATTATTGCGTGAATAATGGCTAGCATAAATTGCTCGTTCAATAATATACTATTATTAATTTTTCATATATGTCAAGTGAGAACTGTCATTGCACCAATTTACAGCAAAAATGTTAAAAGGGAAGTTATGTAGAATTTGAGTGGAAATGTTTAATTATTATGATAAATTTCTATGGAGTTGAATTAATTTGAGATTATTATTTTTAGCAATTCACGTTAGGAGTAAGTTCATTATCTAAATTAGGACCGTTTGGTGCCGCTTTAGAAATCACCATGATCGTCTATTTCATCGCCACATCATCGATAGGTTTCTACACCGCACCGTGGGTGAAGAAAATGAGACCCACCGTTAAAAGCACTTCATTTACTTTAGTGATAGCCAACTGTGCTTTGGTTTTGATCATTAGTTCAGCGTTGCCACTGTTGTCAAAAATTCTAGGTAAGTAGTTTAAATCATACTTATTTTGTAACAGTTGATTGGTTGATTGTCATGAACAGATTACAGCTTTATTATAATTTTACAATTATTCTGTTCTCTTCACGCCGCCGGTAGTCCGATGAAAATTTCCGATCTCACCATGATGGTCACCTTAGATGTAGATGTAGATTGGGAAGGGTATTGGGGAAGTTAACGACCGCGGATCTTATAAATTCATTGCGGGTCCCCCTTTCTTAAGCTTATAACTTTCATACAGTCTCAGGCTTTGACAAAAGCCACTATATGAGACGATTTTACAGAGGTTGCCTTCATCTCCAGTATCGGTCATACCTTTAGGTTTATGGTACGGATGATTGTAGTCTCGGAGCACTCAGTGATGAGTTGTTCCGGTGTTTCCCGTTTCACAAGAATCTGCACTCGCCGTTGCTTCTTAGCTCAATCTACTGAGGTACTACTGTATCCACAGATGTCTTTACTACTCTTGCTTACTTAAGTCTTGAGAAATTTCTTCTAGCGTCTTAGACCGGAGGTTCTATCCAGGTTACAGATGGAGTCTGTAAGGTTCTTTACCTCTGATTTAAGTTGGTTTCGACTTGGGCAGCAGAAAGGTGCTGGCGTGTCATTTTCAGCAACATAATTGTGAACGAATATGATAACCTCCTCAGTTGACGAAAATCTTTATTTTCTGAGAGTATCTTCAGAGAATAAAGATTTCAGAGAATCGATGGAAGCGAAATCTAGCGAATATGAAGGGTGGTCTAGCAGTTTAAAAAAGTTATGATGTCAGTATTCTGTAATGGCTTTCTTTCTGACATCTTTCCCAAAAATAGTCAGCATTATTTTTTCAAGCGTAACAACAGTTTCCTGTTTATTAGAACCAATTTTCCTTCAGAAATGCAATTACATTTTGATGACATTTTGATTAAAACTGTTAACAGTCATACGCGGACAGCTTCCTCATGTCCAAATCTTGATTAGATGCGTGACAAAAACATTTTGGACATACTCATAACTCATAACCTTTATAATCTATTCCTAAACTTTAACTACAACGGTTGTTTCAAAGCAAAATTGCTCAGATTCTTTGTTGCCTGAATATTGTAGTATACATGGTAAGGTCGGAAACCTAAATATAATTCTATGGAATATATTTTAATATGAAATATATTACTACTCACTTTTAGCAATATCCCCTCAAAAAAATATAAATTAATACCATCTTTTATATGAATAAGAAAGTCTTTGAAACAATTAGTGATTTCTGTTGGCTAGATAAACAGCCACTAAAGCTAGATGCACTCAGAAAAAGTAAAACAGTTTCAGTCAAAAACGTTTTTTATCTTTATAGTACCACTAAAGAAAGTTACCGTTTTATTTACAATTGAATGTGCACAGCAGCAGATACAGAAGAGTCGCGCGTCGTGGCTAAAAATGTTTTGTCATAAAACAACGATCCAGCGCTCAACGTCGATCAGCCTGAAACTAAACTAACCTGTCTTAAAGCTCGCGACTGATCAGTATGCGTTAAATCTATCAGTAATTGACGTATCATGGTTCCATCATTTAATTCGTTAATTAAAACTGTTTTACTCTTTCCAGACTAAAGCTTGATTTTCATGCGTCCGTTTCCCTTGATACGTTTGGTTTTGTTTTCGTGCCCTTTTTCATCCGTAATTGTTTTACTCCAAGCCCGTCAACGGAGAAAGATCGTAATGATAAATTCGACGTTTGAATACCTGGCGTCGCATCTAACCCACAAAACAAGAAAATTAGAACTTAAAGCCGGGAAACGAGAATTTTAAGAAAGCTGATTCTTTAATATATCTTTTGGTATGCTCTCCTGTGTTTGCGCTCCTGACCAAAGTGCGGGCCGTCTGGCTGCCGGTAGACTACTTCGGTTTACTACTGCGCATAACATATGCAGGGATCTTACTTTTCGTGTCGCGGGTTTCTTGTTTATGAATAAAGATACAACATTTAAATTTTAGTAAAAAAAAAAAAAAAAAAAAATATACAGATATATATTTGATCTTAGCTTCCTTAGTTCCTGAAATGTTGGTGAGCGTTGATGCGCAGTAGTGACAAGATGTTGAATAGATATGATGCGCAGTAGAGTTGAGCTTAACAGCGACTTTTAAGTCACCGGTATACCGGTGAAAGCGACCAGACGATCACTGGTTACTCTTAACAGCGACTTCAGTCACCGGGACCGTCGGCGTCGTCAGGACTCACCGATACAAAATACCGCTTATCTTCATCCGATTCCGTTTGCAGCTTGCGCTAGAAGCCGAGACGGTGACCGGGCGTATCGTATGTGTGGCGGCGACCAGCGATCACTGGATAATTCTTACTTCTCTCAGCGACCAGTGACTCACGCCGAAGGCGCTGTTTCAGTCGCTGGTTAAATTAGCTCGATCGATACGCCGCTGTACGTCTATTAAATAGTTACGATGTTTATTATTGTGAAAAAGAAAAAAAGGAAACAAATGGAAGTAATTGTCATAAAAGTGCGACAGAAAAAAATGTGAACGAATTCGACCTTTTATCAATTGTAATTATTTAAATATATAAATTACGAAATATCATGTCTAAAAATAATATTTAAATTATATTCACCAAAAAAACAAAGATATAACGTTTTAGATACCATTTCTTTTTGTCTAGTAAAAAAAAATATACTATGTTCCTTTGGGAAGTTTATTTAATATTTAATATGACTATTTATGTATAAAAAATGTATATTCCGTTACGAGAGCCGCTCAAATATTCTCGTTTCTCACACAATAGGCACTGTCAATTAATTAGGGAAAGATACATACATTCTATTAAATGCCAGGTATAAACAGAGAATGTTTTTTTTATTCAGCGTCAATATCTGAACGAGTTCCGTATACAATAATAATAATCTTTATTCATTTACAATCACAAATATACAAAATTTTACGAAAAAAATATGTTTTCTGACTACTACATAGTTATACAATTAAATTTGTTAGTTAAACAATTTTGCAATTGATAATTAAATTTATACTAATGTATTACATTTTATATGATTCCAATAGTAGGTTGTGATAATAGATCCAAGAATTAGAGAGTTCTAAAAAATAAATCAATAATAAATAAATAAATCATATAATAGGCTCGTCTGCATTTTGCAATATATCGCCTGTCGCACATTTCACCGTTGGGCTCCGTTTGCGCCAAGATTCGATGCAGCGACCAGGGACCGGCGACCATATCATAGTCACCGTCGATAGTTTTCTGTTCACCGAAGCGAGTTTTTAACAGCGACCGAGGTCGCTGGTCGCTGCTCACCAGAGAAGTAGGTCCCTGGTATTACCAGTGACCATATAAGTCACCGGTAAAAGTCGCCGGTACAAAAATATCGCTCATCTCTAATGCGCAGTAGTGAACGCAACGTCTACCGGTAGCCGGACGGTCCGCAATCTGTTCAGGAGAGCATAGCAAAAGATATATTAAACAACAAGCTTTCTCAAAATTCTCTCTCGAAAACGTAAGTAAAACAGCGAAATCGTTATGGAAATGAACATATAAAATGACACCAATCACCAGCAAATCGTATATCCGATGAACGGAGGCATGAAAATGCAATAGATTTAAAAACTGCGTAATTTTCTAACCAATCCATGTCTTTAAATTCCACCAATAAAGTTAATATCGTATCGTCGGATAACAGATGCATGAAAATCAAGCTTTAGACCTAACTTTAAAGAACAGAGTCCAGACTAAGAAAATCGTTTCCGTTGATTCTGGAAAGAGTATCTTTTAGCATAAAATAGAAGTTTTACTTTATAACTGTTTTCTTTAAATGGCAAAAAGTTTTACTAAGAGACATTTATTTTTCAGGTATAACAAATTTCGATCTTTTGGGAGACTTCGGCAGTATAGAGTGGCTGGGAAATTTTAAACTAATTCTTCTCTACAACATACTATTCGCCACCGTCTCGTCCCTGTGCATAGTTAATAAGTTCACAGCCAAAGTGAGAAGGGAATTGTACGCCCGGTTAGTTGAGAATTATATGTTTTTAACTAACTGTGTATCGTTTCTTAACTAATATATTTCGCCACGCAGCTACTCGTATAGTCTGGACAACGATCGTTCAACGTTACGTCATTATTTTTTTAATATCCGTTTTAGGGTGTGTCCAAGATCAGTTCATATTGTTTAGGAAATTTCAGGGGCGTTCCGAAAAATTATGAATATACAGGGTGAGTCTTAAATAAGTGCAAATATTTTCAGGGGTGGTATATTTCGACCCCAGGAACACATCTATGAGGTTTTTTTTCGCAAAAAAAAGATATTGAAAATCGAGCCTTTTCTTTTAAATTTCCCTGTATATTTTTCGAAAACTTTAGAACTGCCTGTTCACCGCAAATTTTCCCACAATATAATCTCTTAATCTCTGATACCTATTACCATAGTTACAGATTTACTCTATGGTTACGGCACTAAAAGGGATGCAAATACAGAAAAAATCCGGTGGCTCTCAAAATTTAAAAAAAAATCATTTTTTTTTAATTTTCAAACTTAAATAACTCGAGTTATTTTCGACCTATTTGAAAAATGGCAAAGAGAAAATATGTTTCGTTTATCGAGATCTACCAGCCCTGAAAATATTTGCACTTATTTAAGACTCACCCTGTATATTTTATTAATTTAAGTAGGTATGTTTGGGTTTTATTCAGTTTAGTTATGTTTCAATTTATAATTTTAGGCCTACATGCCAGTTTTAAGCGGGTAACATTTGAGTAACATACCGATTTGAATTTTGTCAAACGTCAAACATTGAGGAATAAGAGAGGGGAGGCGCTGCAATACGTATTTCTATGAATTAAAAAACTTGGGGCGGGGCAAACTGTAACAATTTATCAGGACTGGGCTAAGTAAAATTCAAATAATAAAAGCAAACATATGAATTAAAATTTAACTTGAGCTAATCTAATGTAATGTTAATGCATTAAACAATATGTACGTATGTGTTTCGTAACCTATTTTTTTATTTATTTATCCATGATTTTGTACTAGCTCATTACTGGCCTGTACAGGGTGGCTGGAATTCGACGCTCATCTTTGGGATTTCAGAAACCGTAAGAGATAGAGGATCGGTTAAATGGAGGCAAAGTTGCGCTATTTGATGCAATAAAATGCCGTATTGCATTTTGAAAAATTCCGAATATATTCGAAAAAAACGGAATTTTCAATTTTGTTTTCTATTGTTTCCTGGCTTTATTTGTTAAGATAACTTAAAATGAAAAAACACATTTTCATGGCCACTTTTTCTGCCCTATAACTCTGTGTGATTAATTATTGACTCTGACGTTTCGGCTTCAGGCGACCATCATCAACTTAATTTTTTTAAATACGGACCTGATTTTTTTTTCAATTTAATTAAATCTTTTCATCACTCTTAAAACACTGTATATAGTCACTTTGATATTTGCCGACGTTTCGTACAGAAAATTCCATCACCAGAATATTTTATGCGAAAATAAAAAAAAATAAAAATGCAATACGGCATTTTATTGAGCATCAAATTGCGCAACTTTGCCTCCATTTAACCGATCCTGTATCTCTTACGCTTTCCGAAATCCCAATGATAAGCGTCGAATTCGAGCCACCCTGTACATTATTCTTTATGCTACCTGTGAAATGGTATTCCAGTGAGTTTCTTCTAATATTACTACCGCTAAGTACAGCACACGACACCATATTTTTTTTAATAGAAAACACTCCAATTATCGATTAACAACACTAAATTTTGGGGAAATGCACCTATAACAACAAAAATAAAATCAAAATTGTCAACTGGTCCCGTTATCGTCACACCTGTAGTATCGCATCCTCTCAAAAGTGAAATGTCTAGAAACAAATGTGCAATGATATAATCTATATCAATATGTGATCTATTTCATGGTTTTCACGTGAAAGTGCGATGATATGTGACGTAACATTCAACGATGGTTATTCAGACTTTACACATACATATTAAGACTGATGTACTTTTTTGTTTATTAAAAAAGGCCTTTTAGCGTTTATTTGTTAGAGTTTTATATTTTTTATAATAAATGTTTTAAAAATACAAAAATATTAATTGGTCAAAAAATAAATATTGGCCCTAACATACAATTTGACATTTTAGAACACCCCATATACTATGAATTAGTATGTTAAATTTTTTATTTTTGAAATAGGTACCTCTACCGGTGATGGCACGAAAACTACGTCACAAGACGTAGAAATAACATTTTAATTGGAGCTTATTTGGTTATATAGGGTGAACCAAAATCAGAATAGTATCGGCTTTCTTAAAATCACCTTACAAAAAAATTGCTATTTTAGGCTCAGCTACTCAACTTGCAATATTTTATTACTTTTATTATCACCCGACCAATCATAAAAACTTTTGTAGAGCATTTATAACAGCACAATTCAGAAGTTTTTCTGTATACAATTTTTCTTTCAAAAGAGCATTTATCAAGGAGAAAATACATTATTAGTTATCCCACTAGAAATACACACTAAAATTTAATACTTCCTATTAAATATGTTTACCTAGTACACACACGAGATTGAAATGGGTATTGTGATGGGTGATTGGGAACTTTTTATGAAAATAATTTAGGGAAAAGCCAAAAATAAAATAAAAAATGAACATAGGAAAAAAACAAAAACAAAGGATTTTATAAGATTTTTTTTCGCTCTTATTTATTTACCCTGTATAACGGCTCTAAGGAAAATGTACATCTATGCATACTGTGGCGTTGTTTTCATTCTATCAAACGGTATCTACAAGACCTATATTGTAACGTTATTTGCCATTAATTTTTGAACCTTTTCATGACCAATTTCATTCAGGAACACAGCAAATTTGCTACATTTTCTAGAGAACTTTCCACAGCACCATAGATTTAAAAATGAGCTTTATTATAACGGTATTATTTATTATTAAAAAGTAATGGTACATTTTTCAATCTGAACAAAACATGTTGAAGCGGGCAAAATAAGAAATAATATGACGGGTCTTTTAAGATTCATTCAACGTTTCGTCATCATTATTTATCTCATATATATCTAATATTCGTTTTAGAATATGTCTGAGATCAGTTCATATTTTTTAGATATAGAAAATGTCAAGTACGTTCCGAAATTTAGTAATGAGCGCGTTCGGCTTTTTTTTTGAATTTCGAGTAGACGTGTTTGGCCTTTATTAATTTTGGTTGTGTTTTAAATTATAATTTTAGGCACACATGCCGGCTTTACTAATAGACAGTTTAGTAAGAAATATTTTAATTTTGCTTGACAGGACACTACTTTTAATTTTGACACTGATCAATATCCATTAAAAAGACCATAACCACGAAAGTGAAATGAGTGTTACTACAAAATTTTGGAATAATTTACGAAATGTATACCCCCCCCCTGGTATGATGTCCATAATCTGTTTCATCCCGTTTTCACGTGAATTATATCTGTAGTACAATATATGACGTAACGTTGAATGACAGTTGTATAAGCTATAGACTGAGTCCAGGTCCATGTTACTTGAGATTAATTTTTATTAACTAATTAATGGATCTCATCATTTTTTCAATATTGTATTTATATTTTGTTATTGCATTTACCATATCATAACAAATTGTCTCTATTTTCTACTACACATTATTTTGACTTTAAAAAGATAGCAATTCTTTCCTTAATTTGCATTTCCAATTCTAGTTTATCAACAAACTATAGTAATATGTATTACATAAAAGGAAAATCAACCAGATATACAGGGTGTCCCAGGCTGAGCGCGCATTAGAAGTTTCTAGAGAACCACAATATCTAGATCGGAGATTTTTTGCACATCGTTGTTTTACAACGAGATCTATCTATTACAAATATTTTCAATATGGCGGCACGTTCGGAAATACAGGATGTTGACAGCAAATTTATTATTTTAAATGGGTGCCTACATTTTTTATTACATACTTAAATTATCTGTAAAATTTTATGAATTTTGATATTAAACACTCTATACCTAACATTAGCCGTTTTTGAGAAAAAAATATTTAAAATTTTTGGACAAAAAAACCGCCTGTCGAAAATATGTGTATAGCCTAAACGTCAAATTTAGTGATTGCCACAGCCACTGTGACATAAAGAGAAGACATTTGTCTATCTGTTTCAAAAATTAACTTGTTCAAATGTCATATAATAATGGCGGTAGCTGTCATGGAATTGAGCGATTAAAAAATTATCATAAATCATTTTTTTCAAAAGAAACCCACTTTTTTTATTTCACAAGTGAAAAGGCTTTTCAATTCGTTACTTTTTGACTATTCATATTTCTATACCTAAAATAAATCGTTTTTAAGTTATTTAAGATTTAGTTTTAAAGCGTATATTTTTCTTGATTGTGAAACAATGATGTGCAAAAAATCTCCGATCTAGATATTATGGTTCTCTAGAAACCTGTAATGTACGCTCAGCCTGGAACACCCTGTATAATATTTATAAGTATGATTGAAACTAAACAGCATCAGAGTTGCCTTTGAAATTTCGAGTAGTGATAATTTTGGGCAAGTCGACCTCTATTTCTCCTTTTATTTAATATTGAGCATCAATAAAAACTTTCCATCAAAATTGTTTTAGAAAACTCGTAAAAATTGTTTTTTTCTATATTATTTTTAAAGTCTTGTTGTGAATTTCTAATGAGGTTTCATGGTGGATTTGACAAAAGTACCATCGCTTGTTATTTCAAAGGCCACTATGACAATACTTATTTTTCAATTGTGTAATGCTGATAATGTGTTTTTTGCTTTAAACTATAAATGGCCAGTATTTTTATCAATCACTAAAGAATAAAGGACATGTAACGGCCATATACGGCCGTTCTATACGACTGCAGCAAAATTTGTGACCTTTAGACGCCATATTTTTGGACATAACGAATGAATCATCAGCTGGTCATCAGTGACAATTTCAGCGATATTTAATAGTTGGTTGTATGTAGTGAACTTTGTATAAACTTTATTACAATGGTAATTTGTTCAGCTTTCAAGTGTAAAAGGCGCAATGATAAGAAAGATCCAGGAGTTACGTTTTATAGGGAAATAAACAGTACACTACACCTTTTTAACGTTTTTTTATTGAATTCGATAATTATTTTTCTGATATTATATGTACTTGATATGTGTTATACGTCAATACTAGATTTGTACCTTTTGTTAACGTTTTAATACGGTTTTTTCGTAATTAATTAGTATGATACTACAGGACACACCAGAGGCGTAGTGAAAACATTTACCATATAAATATCGCTTCAAGCGGCTATGTTAAGAAAAATTTGTGCCACGGCACTGTTTGGAGGAATGGTCACAGTTTGGTCTCGGTTGCTATTTGTCCTTGTATTCTTTAGTCATTGATTTTTATGAATTATACTTTGGCTAAATCTCATATTGGCTTTCATAATAGCAGTTTCTAATATACCGCCATTCTTTTCTCCATTTAATTCAGAAATTTCAGAAATTAGTTTGTTTCATTTTTAGAATACTTATTAACAATGTGTGCACTTTTTAACTAACATTAATTCACTTACGATATTTGAGTGTACTATTTTATTTGATCATATAATAGTATGTGACCTTTTGGATATTGAAATCGTTTAAAAAATTCGTTTTCTACAAAATATGTATTCTAAACCTTTGGCTGGAACTAACCTAATCTTTTTTTTCTAAAGAACTATGGTATTCTTGAAATTGCACGAGCCACAAGTGATGGTTTCTAATACACCCAGGTCTTCGTTTTTGACAAAGAGTGAGTAGCAGGTAACATTTTGTTTGTTACTAATTTTAAGTACCAATTTTGTATATACACGCTTGATATTATTTATTTGAAAATTTGTGATTTAAGTGTTTTTTGAATGTTTATATTAAGAATTATACTGCCTTTGCTATGTATGTACGTTTGCCCTTGTTATTTTAAAATAGTATTCCTTGTGGTATTATTATATATTTTTTAAAATTTCTATGTTTCTTAACAATAAAAAGAATAAGTCCATATTTGTTGTCAGTTTTTGAATAGAATATAAACTAAAATACAATTTGCCAAAGCTCCTGTGGTTTCTTTTTTGTTAAAAACATAGTAATGCATCTGTGATTAACTGATTTTATATTGTATTTATAAAATAAGCAAGCAGAATATTTAGCCTTCGATACCTAAAACTTGTAATTAGGTTAAGAATTTTAATTTTAGGTAATATTAAATTCATTTATATTTATTGCTCAACATTAAGTACCCATAACGTGTTACAAGCATATCATTCGTGATGTAATAAAGCATATTGATTTTTATTTTTGTATTTTGTTTTCCCTCTAAATTTTTGAAAACATTCTCCTTGAATTATACAGGGTGTTTCTAAAAACATGTTCCATCTCTAGTGGGGAGATTCCTCAAATCTCTCAAGTGGCAATGGGCGGGACACCTGGCAAGAAGGACTCACAACAGATGGACCACAAAAATTACAGCATGGTACCCACGAGGAATTAAGAGACCTAGAAGAAGAACAAACCTGAGATGGGACTATGATAAGAGGAAATTAGCAGGAATAACTTGGGCCCGCAGAACCAACCATGGACAACGATGGGCCCAACTACAAAGAGAATATCTAAATATGTGAGGGAGTTTCCTCACGTAAAAATAAGATTTATTTTTCATATCAACATAGGCCCGATTCTGCTTTGTTTCGTAGCTACAGGGTGTTAAAGTCTTAATATTTTTCTATTTATTATAATTTTCTTCCAAGTGATTCGAATGAAATTTTGAGGGTGAAATTTACTATAAGTGCTACATATTTTAATGCTACAAAAGTATCGATAAATTCTTCAGGGACATGCATATTTGCATATGGGTTATCACTGGAATATTTTTCAAAAAAAAACATGTGCGCCACTGACTTTTTTTCTTTTGATATCAAAATTGTCTAGGCCGTTTAATGCCAATTAAAAGTTATCTCTTGATATTTTGTCGAATTCGGCCTTATTGATAAGATAACCGCAATTTCATTAATAACAATTAATAAAATTAGAATAAAAATAAAATTAATAAATTATTGGAGGATTGAGGAATCAATGAGTACTTATATTTAAAACTTTCACAAGTTAATGATAATATTTTTTAAAGGTTGCTATTAAGGAGGGCGCGCACTGAATGGGTCTCGGCGCAAGCGAGCGGCACGTAATTTTCAGTTTACGTTGAAATAAATGTAAGCCCGCGCACCGCATTAGATCGGTGCGCTTCGATCTATCGGCGCCATTCGAACTATCGGCGCCATCAGGCGAAATCAGAGAATGCATAGGAGGGGGACGAATAGTCTACGCCGAGCGACTGTTTTTAGTGTAGCGGTTTTACATTAAACATTTCCGATGAATTATTAATCGAAAGTGTACGAGACCATATCATACTTAATATGCGGTTTTTTCATAAAAAATTCTTATAAGCACGTAACCCATATTGTTTAATACACTTATTCAATAACTGAATTAGAAAACCTTCCGATTAAACCCATTTATTTCTCATCTCGTTTTGATTGTCTCACATTATTATGGAAATCTAATTTAAATATCGTCAAAAAACTTATCATATTATATATGTTGATCGCTCAAGGTCGTACAAGGTACAAATAGAGAAAATAATATTTATGTTTAAATAAAATATTTGTACATATATCTACCGTATGATAAAAAACGGCGTCCAGTTGGATGGGAAATGACGATTGATGACATTTCCAATATAAATTTACATATAAAATTACACCGACCTTCATTTCATGGCCATCGCTGATGGCGTTTCTTTTCGATCATACGGTACTATAAAATAAAAACTATATATTTTTCTTTTTTTAATTTTCTTTGACTTTTTTATTATATTTTAAGGTTTTAAAATATTGGTTTTAAGTTAGTAGTGAATAAAACTAAACTTTTGTTTACGTTTTGTTTAATGATTGACGTTTCGACCAATTTTAATTCGGTCTTCTTCAGAATCTATAATATACAATACTATTTTATCACTAACAATGTGTTTAATATATAATTTTTCTTACCACAAACGTAGAACATCATTTATACGTATATTATAGATTCTGAAAAAGACCGAATTAAAATTGGTCGAAACGTCAATCATTAAACAAAATGTAAACACAAGTTTCGTTTTATTTACTACTGACTTAAAACAAAGATTTTAAAAACTTAAAATAAAAGCTATATATAAATGTTTGTAATGACACTTATTTAGATTAAAAAACTAAAAATAGAAGTTTTATTTGACTATTTTTCATATCTAGCTTTGTTTTTAAAGAACAAATTAAACCCTTTTGAATGATACCAAATTTGTGTGGTTTGTTAAGATCTAAATATATTAATGTGTGTTTGGTTAAGATCTAAATAATATTAAAATGAATTGAATTATAACAAATATACAAAATAATTGAAATGCCGAATGAATTTGATTAAATTTGAATAAACTTCTCCTCGTCTATGCTCAAATTTATGCTGGTGACGTACTCTCGACCGTCGATCGTGCGACTCCAGTGCGCGGCTACAATCGACTTTCCGACCGGTCGTGCCGCTCGCGCCGCTCGCTCTCGCCGATACCCCTTCAGTGCGCGCGGAGCTAGACTTAGAACAAGGCAAATTAATAAAATCGCGTTTATCTCATCAAGGAGGCCGAAATCGTCAAAATATCAGGAAACAACTTTTAATCGGCAGTAAACTGCTTACACTGTTGCGCTAACAAGAGAAAAAAAAGTCAGTGGCGTACATATTTTTTTTAGAAAGATATTTCAGTGATAACCCATAAGCACGTCCCTGCATGGTGAATATGTCGACACTTTTTCAGCTTTAAAATATGTCGCATTTATAGTAACTTTTAGCCTCAAAATTTTATTCAAAACGTAAGTACTTGGAAGAAAATTATAATAAATCGAAAAAATATTATGACTTTACAACCAGGTAGCTGCGAAACAAAGCAGAAACGGACCTATGTTGATATGAAAAATAATTCTTAATTTTAAATGAAGAATCTCCCGACCAGATATGGCACATGTTTTTTTTGAAACACCCGGTATAATATTTAATTAAAATACTAAAAAATTAAAGTTTTAAAATTTGCTTTAAACGTTTTCAAATAACATTTAAAGCAAATTGGAAACATTTTTCGGGCTTGTCCGAGATTATTAAAAATTATATAACCGGTTGTATTTCAGAACACGCCACAGAAATAAAAGTATCCGAAATAAATAAGCGCGTTATTTTATTCGGTGCAAGAAGACGATACAACAGATATTACAGAAAAGTCTCAGTGTGCTATTTCAATTCGATATGTTAATAAAAGCGGCTAAGTCAAATATCTTTGCGAATTTTATTTTATGAAATATTAGATAACATTGTTATACATTTAGAAATATGGTTTGCAGATAGGTACTCGTGTGTCTTAATTATTTTTATTTAAATAGAGATAATTATCTCTTGCGGATCCGATATTTAAAGAATCCTATAAAAAATTTCCAACGCATTTAACATCTGATTTAACAAACTTGTTATATTGATACATTTCCAACGCATTTAATAGTGATTTAACAAACAAAAAATGTTATTGACCAACGTAAATTAATGAATAAATTGCAGGTATTAATAATAGATATGATAATTTCGATTATAAAATAATTTAAGAAGAATAATCCTAGAAATATATTTCCAGAGGCTTGCAAATTGTTTGTTTTGTTTGTTACTACACCATTTACTAGTATTTGGGTTGAGAGACATTTTTCATGTTTGAAATGCCTTAAAATTTATAGTAGAAATTCCATGAAAAATAAACGTTTATCGTCACTTGCCTTACTTTCAATCTAAAAAGATCTTTTCACGGCTCTTCAACAATCTGATGATTTTACTGATATAATAATAAATAACTTTTCTTTATTAAGAGACCGACTCATCAATTTAATATATAAAACATAATTATTCTTTCTCTCAATACTACCAATTTTTAAGTTTGCGTAAATAAATAAAAATAAAATAAAATTCTATGATGTACTCCATAGTAATAGATAAAAAAAATCATATACTTGTACATTATGTCAATCATTATGTCATTACGTTGAATGCTGTTATTTTTGCTTTAGTTTTGTCCTAAATATTCTTGAGCTATGTTTTTAACCTGGAGATAACATATATTTACAAACTGGGTTAGGATATTATGTAAATTTAAGGGGGGGCAAATAGACGCAACTATTTTGTCGCCTACCCAGTGACACGGGTCACGAGCCGCCACTGAATCGTTGCTATGCGATAATAATGATAATATCTAAGTATTTTGGTTTTTGCTAGAGTAGTTATTGAAACTATAAACTTCTCAGGTACGATGTTTGTGGGATGTAACGCTGTTTCGGGTGAAAAAAATTAGGTAAAAATAACCCGAACTGGGCGTCGCGTTGTGTTGCGACTAGTGATGGGCAAAACTGTTATTTTTAGATAACAGTTGAAACTGTTATAGTTATTTATAAAAAACAGCTTAAAAATAACAGGTTTCTTTATTTTATTGCTAAATTCGGAAAGAGTATGAGGCGGTCACCGCCAGGCGTATTAACGCAGTTGCAAGTTGCAAAAATGACATGCTCGGTGGTAGTATTTCCAGGGTGTAAAAACATTTCTAAATATCGATTGTTATCTAAAATACCTCTCTAAAGACGGTCGTTGTTTACAAATAAGCGCTGTTTACAAATTGCGATATAAAAAAGCCAAAATTCCGCCACTCGTCTATACGTATACATTCCGATCTACCTACGCCTTGCCCCTCGATCGGCGTAGATCCTGAATTACGTAGCAGTGTACAGGGTGCATCTCACTCGACGGGCGAGAAGCTCTTAGTTATAATTTTACCATTTGCGGTCAAAAAATAGCAATATAAGAAAATGTGTAGTATATTCTTCATATGTAAACCAACTACACACTAGAGTTCGAATTAATTTTACACTTTAACTAGCGTGTACCCGCGACTTCGTTCGCGTCGAATTAATAATTTGTAATGGTAATGATAAAGCAAAGCAAGAATTTCTATTAACATACAAACTGGATAAAATTTTCTCAGATTTGCCAAAAATAAGCTTTAAACGTCGAGCAGTTTAAACAGAATCGTGGTTAATCAATTACTCAACTTTTTGGAACACCCTGTATTATTTTTTAAAAATTTTCAAAATATGTAAAAAAACAAAATAAATTATGCGTGTCCAAGCGTTTTCCTGAAAGACTAACCGTTTTAAATAACAAATATTGTAATATTTGAGGGGCGTTTTCACCCTCTTGGAATTTAAGATTCGAGAAACCTCCTTATCAGACCTCAACCCCACAGTCAATCCGTTTGCCAAAAAATCAGCTTTAAACGTCAAGCAGTTTAAGCAGAATCGTGATTACTCAATGGTCACATTTTATGAAACACCCTGTATATATATTTTTTAAAAAATCTTATAATATGTAAACAACGAAATAAAATATACGTGTTTAAGAGTTTTTCCCAAAAAACTCACCGGTTTTTAAATAAAAAAATTCTAATATTTGAGGGTGGTTTCAACCCCTTAGAATTCGAGTTTCAAGAAAAATCCTTCTTATCGAACCTCTACACCCTAAAGTCAATCCGTTTTCTAAAAAATCAGCTTTTTTACGTCAAGGGCTTTAAGCAGGATCGTGATTAATCAATGATCAGATTTTTAAAAACACCCTGTAAACATTTTTAAAAATTTTAAAATATTATTCTGAAAATTTTCAGAATAAATAAATACCTAAATATTGAAACTTAATAACGTACTGAAACATACAGCGCCATAATATCTCGACCTCCGCCCGTTATGCTCGTAACAGGTTGAAAAAGCAATGTATCTAAAACAACTGCAGAGCGTTATTCTCCAACCTGTTTCGAACTTCCATCGACAATCGACCGATGGAGCAGCGTTCCTTTCCACCCGATTATCTCGACCGCCACCCTGTTATGCTCGTAACAGGTTGAAAAACAACGTATCTAAAATGACTGCTTCTCCAACCCGTTGCGAGCCTCCATCGACAATCGACCGATGCAGCAGCCTTCCTCTTCCCACTCCTGTTATCTCGACTGCCAGGCGTTATGCCCGCAACTGTTTCAAAAAAACCTGCTTCTTTATATCCTATTATTTTAAGCTGTTGTAAGCCCAATACGACCGTCGACGGGATCGACCGAAGCAGCTACGTTCGCCGTAGCGCATTCCTCACTCCGTTGTCCGTTGTCTCGTCGCCTGTATCGATGGTTGACGAAATAACATGTTTTCCATCCATACTAGTTGTTTTTTAGAATTGCTTCGAGCAGCATAGAATTTCGGGGCGGTGGAGAGCGCCGACTTCGTTTTTCGTTTCACGAGCGGCCGATCTCTACGTGTCGTTATTTTATATCTGTTATTTTTAGAAGTAGTAACGGTTGCGTTATGTTATTTTCTAAATAATTGTTATAAAATAACAGATAGTTAAATAACAACCCATCACTAGTTGCGACATCACAACCACTGGGTGACGTCACAACCACAATAGCGGGAACTGATAAGGGGGCGAAGACGTGAGGCAACTTATTCAGTTTAGCGACCTTGCCTGTTTATTACATACCCCAAAGTAAAATTTCGCTCTGAATTTATGAATGCCATAGGTATAAGTAAATTCTATTTTTACTACTTCCAAGGGGACTTTGCCCAGTTTGCAGCATTAATTCTAAATTATTCTGTTCCACTTCTATTTCCATAGTGGTCTCAAAGATTAAAAATTAACAGTTGTTTAAAAATGTGTGTTTATTTAAATATAAACACGGTCTTTGGTTTTTGCAGGTCAGGTTTGGTTGGTGGTCGTTGCAGGTCAAAATAAGAACTTGTGAAATTAACGATCGCGAATTGTTATGATTTTCAATTAAAAAGCCGCGTGCTTTGCGTCAGCTTGAAAAACACTGAACCCGGAAATTCTATTTAGAGAGGTATATTTTTCTTCTAATATAAACTTAAAAGGCCCAGTTTAATCCTCCAAAAGGGCTTGATCAATTTCAATAGTAAAATATCTAATTTTTGAACCCAGTTCAACGATAAATAGTCATTGAGCAACGTATTAAAATTTTGAACATGGTTTAAACCTGAACTCACTCTGAACCGAGTATATACAACCAGGCCTAAAAGGCATAGAAGAGAGAGCAATGGATTTTGGCTTGATATACGAATCGGTATAAAAGGATATAATAGTAGGTCGCACAAGTGTCTAGGTACACCCCAACAATACATGCCGGAAAGCTTTGCGAAAGCGTATTCTCGGTTGTGGGTCGGGTATTTCGCGTGCAATCTAAACAAAAAAAAATACTCCAGAGATTAACCAACGCCGTAGGCGTGTTTGATTGCTATTACCAACCGCTGTAAAGTTGGGGTGTACCCATGGTACAAAGAATACAAGGTATGATCGATAGCGGCTCCAATTTCGATCAGTTTGCGCATACCACCTGTGACGTCACTAGGAAAACAATGAATAAATAAAAAATAAAGAAAGTTGACAGGAGATCTGTATTTTTTGGGGTTATGGTTAAAAATTGTTTATTTTTAAGACTTTTTAGTTCGTTTAATTTAATAATTACTAAAACCAGCAGTTCCAAAAATATATTTAAAAATAATAATTATCTATTAACATGGATTTGGACGATAATTAGTTTATTTCTATATTCGGTATAAAATTGTTTATTAGGTTTTTAGTTTGCGATGTTTATGGTAAATAATTTTCATGTTCATTGCCTCTGAATTCACATGAGGACAGAGATGAGGATATCTATGGAAAAGTAACCACAAGAGGAATTGTTACATCATTTAAAAAATGTTGGAAAGTTTATTGTTTTCCCATCGAACAGTAGAAAATGCCAATGCAGATGAATGTATTGTAATTGTGATAGAAGTAATTCCAAGGGTGAAGTTTATTATAATTAGTGGAAGTAATTCCAAGGGTGAAGTTTATTATAATTAGTGACCTGTGCTTCTTTTATATAGATGTTTCAGGTTATGAGAATAATATATACATTATATATAATATAATAATCGGTTGAACGAAACCCAAAATTTAGGAAGAAGATGCGCATCAAGGATTATATAGCTCAAATTTTCCTTTAATGGTAGGCAATTATTCAATGCAAATTAACTTTTTAAGTGACTGAAATACTAAATAGTTTACAATATGGTATATCACTAAAAATATATTTTACTTTTTAGGTACAATTAGGGCCCGATACATTTCAAAAAGTAGAATATTATTTTATATTAAATGAGGTATTGTACCAACAATCAATTTATATTAATACCGAGATTAAAAAAATCACAAAATAAATAGTTCTTTTTTTACACTACAAAAATAAAGTATAGAATACAACAGTATTTAAAAAAATAAATATAAAAGTTATGTCCCAGCCGAGATTCGAACTCCGGTCTCGCTTCCTATCCCGACCTGTGATCCCGACTCCTTATGCCCTGCTCCACAGTAACTTGCTTAGCGATAATTCAATGACGGTATATAAACAAAAAAACAAGTTTATAACAATATCTTGACGATTTGAACTGGTGCGCGAGGCGTGCTGACCAATAGCGCCTGTTATCACCTGTGACGTAGCAACCAACCTGCGCAATATCATACCTTGTATTCTTTGTACCATGGGTGTACCTAGACACTTGTGCAGGTAGCCGGGTGACGTCACAACCACAATGGCGAGGATTGAATTGAGGGGAAGAGGCTGATACCAAAGACGGAGAACTGGCCTCTGTGGAGCCGTCTCAGATACTGGCTTTTCTCAAAGCCCTGAGACTGTATGATGAGTTATAACTCAAGAAAGGGGAACACACAATAGATCTGTAGGGTCGCGATGATTAACCCCCCTCCTAAACATTCTACAAGGGAAAGAGTGATACAACCTATTCAGTTTAAAACCTTGCCTGGAATTAATTTATTTGAAAAATTCTGACACCTGTCAATTTCTAACGTGACAGCTTTAAATAACAATATGAATATATATAATTTAAACAATATAAATAATAGATGTAAAATATAAGATTATTTATATTTTAAATCTAGTTTTTCTGTTTTAAATCATTAGGAAAGTCAAGTCATTGATCTATGCTTAGGTACAGTTTGTCCAAAGAGGAAGATTTCAACAGACAACATCCAAAAAATTATATAAAATACACTTATCTGTAAATTTAAATGAGAGACAACTGTCACTATATCATGGGTCCTCTCGTTGGACAGACTATATCTATATTATTTACATGTAGTATATTATACTTCACAGATCAGTGTAAATCTTTGTGTAAATGCTATTTTATTTCAAAATGTAAATGCTTTTTTATAAGAATATTTTGGATTATTAAATATGAGCACCAAATTTTTTATTCAAAATATTTGGTTCCCACCTCTGATACTCTTTTTTAATCTTAGTTTTATCCAAGTCTGCATCAACAATTAAAACAGGAGCTGGACATTTGTGTAATCTCTTATGATATAACCAGTCTTCGTGCAATTCATGCAATGATTTGATATAATCTAACGATATAGAAATTTCTTCTGGCCGGTTTCTTTTTAAAATCCTCTGATAAACTACTTCTGGAGATGTTCTTAAATAAACTATTAGGTCAACATCAACGTTCATTTTGGTTGTAATCCAATGAAACCAGGAGTCAATAACAGCTACAGATGGTGGAGAGAGTATACCATCCCGACTAAGTTTTTCCACAAAACAATAACGAGCACTAAATATCGAACGCTCCATTAGATTTACTGGTTTCTCAATTTTATTTAAATGATTTTGTAACATAGTCAATTGAACATATGACTGAAACGTGAAACTCCATTTCTGGGGATCCTGATACAGCAAACCCTAAAATAAAATAGTTATTTAGCTAGGATGGGGTTTGCTAAAATAAAATAACTACTAGTAAATTATGGCCATTGAGATTCCTCCAACGATCGACAGGTTCAGCGCTAATATGAACATCTTCGTGGTTTTTGAAATGCTCTAAAAATGTAGTTTTTCCGCTACCAATATTTCCTTCAACGCCGACAGTAAAAGGTCGGTTTAATACTCCGCTCCCTAATTTTGAGGACTTAATCAGTTTTGTTATTCTTTGTTTAACTAAGCGCATGATGTCGTTTTTTCAAACTTTTCATAATACACGATAACAATCTCGAAGAACCTCACAAAACGACCATTTCGTTAGGTTGAAACAAAAAAGGACATTACAGATTACAGCAAAGAGGAGAATACAAAGCGGCCCCCAATGTTTTTTATTGTAGAAAGTTTTTTTCTGTTATCACTGAATAGAATACAGCCCAATACACCCTTTAAAATTGTAATCACCACAGAAAATAACCTAAAAATAGTTGTTTCCAATGGTTGTTTCCGTCTCTGCGAGAAACCCAGTGATGCCGTGTTGCCGCAGGGGATTTTGAGATTGTACCAGAGATATAGGATTGTACTGATGGTTTTGAAAAATGTATTGAAGTAGGAAAAAATGTAGTATTTTACTATAGGCCCAACCTGTGGGCCCAACATTTCTCTCTGGTTTAGAAAAAAATGTTTTATTGCCTGTTTAATGACACAGGGAATCTGTGAGAATAGATTTTTCATAATTTTAGCAGAGATTTTGGAACCGTTCTGCAATAATAATAAATTTAGCCTAATGAACTACAGGGGATAAACAAAATAATCTGCATCCTTTACGTTTTATCCCGAGGTAAAATTTGGCTTTAAATTTAAGAATGTCATGGGTAAACTCTATTTTTCCTACTTTCAAGGGGGCTTTACCGCGTTTGTAGCATTAGCTCCTATTTGGTATTAGTTCAAAATTATTCTGTTCTACTTCTTTTTTTTCGATTGAATATCAGTAGTTCCTAGTATTTAATGCTAAAATGGCTAAAATTCCTTACGATAGGTTTGCCAACTATTTCAATCATTGTGGATTGCTCCCAAATTGCTCCATAATATATCTAATAAACATTTCAAACGTTAAAAAATGTTATATTTAGTGGTATTATAAAATATTTCATAAATAAATCAACTATAAAAAGTATGAAAATTATTCATATTATATTTATATATTGTTTTATATGCTATTATACATATATTAATATTATGAAATTTACATTGTAAAATATAAGTAATAAAATATCATGACAAAACACTGCAATTACTATTACTAAAATATACTTAATAAGATCTTCCATATACTATGTATTTTACATACACATATAAATTAAATATAAAAATATAAATACCTATATTATTGACAAATGTATTAATGCAGAGAAATTTTATTAATTAATAATTGGTATAAAAATAGTCCCCTGAAATTATTACACAAATTGATATAAATACAGACAAGAAAAATCTGTTTGTCAATAATATTGAACCAAATAATAATGTTTTCATAATATTAAATATATTACTACTAAACAAAAATAACCTACTTCATGAACACATCATTTCCAAATATTTAGTTACACTTCTCCAAAATTCATATGACCAGTTTTTTGTGCATGAGTCTGTGCCTCAATTTGTCCTTTAAGCATTATGTTGCAAACTAAACACTTCAAAGTAAATTTATTGACATCTGTATACTGTCTACTTGATTTTGCTTCCTGAGCTAATGTCGTTGCTTCTCTTAATATTCTTTCATCACTACTTTCAAACATTGTTTGCATTTTATCACCCTAAAAACAAAAATTATTTAAATGAAAAGATGTAAGTTTGCATTTAATAATAAAGGTCTGTCAAATATCACTTACATTGAATGGTTCCAAATACAGTGGATCATAATGAATACCATCAAACATTAACAATACCCTAACAGCATAACTTTGATCTTCACCAAACCGATTTATTATTGCATTTATAGTATCGACTACAGCAATTTCAATTCCATAATAATTACTCAATATTGCCAATTCAATTGCACCACCCCAAGATTTGTCATCTTGTATCCATGTGCAATATTCATCAACAGGTTTGCCTAAAATTGCTTCGTCATATTTATGTCTTTCATTTTTAATAGTTTCGGCAACTACTTGTCTTAAAAATGGGGCAGCTTCACCTAAAATTAGAGATTCAATCTAAGTTTTCTATTTTGATTGACAAAAACGTATGAACTCACCAGTCTCATCTACTTTTCCATTCAATACAAAATTAACGCTGGTAAATAAACAAGAATTATCGGCAGGCACAACATATTTCATTAAGATACCGGGGCACTCATATGGATTATCATCAGTATTGTTACTTATAGGATTATTATTTGTACTATTTGTTGATGTTGACTTTCCTTCCGAAGTCTTCGGAGATTCTGATACCTTTTTAGTCGCATTTGGTGATTCTTGTAAAATAAGGGTATCACCAGAAACTAACCCACTATTAGCTGTAATAAAATTCGTCATATGTATACACATAGAAATTAACTATGTAAAAATTACTGAATAAACTTTACCTAGAATTAAGTCGTCTTTGGATATATCAAATGCCTTAGGAGGAAAACCAGAGAGCACTTGTAAACTTGAAATAGGTATATTTGATAAATTTGACAAAACCTCTTTTAAATCCTTTATAGTATTACTTTGTGTAAGGCTATTTACAACTTGTTGGCCAGTTTTCGTCTTAATCCTTAATGCTATGTTAGCCATGATTCGCAAATTTATTGTAAACTAAACTAGACATTTATTTTTTATGCCTCCAATAATCAAATAAAAATATATTTTTTAAAACTAACCAAGGTGAATTGTGGATTTCTTGCTTTTGAACTAATGTCAAAATCATGTCAAAATAAAATGTACATACATGACATCAAACATGACATATATAAACATAACGTGTATCGTGCATATAACGTAATTAATTTTTATTCTATGGGATTCAAAAATCATATATAAAATTAGAGTATACGATATTCTATATGATACATTTCGCCATATATTGAGTAGTTAATGTAGCAGCAAAGTAGCAGTAATAATCATATACATTATGATCATAGATAAAAGAAAATAACCATCCATGATCAAAATTTTAGTCAATGGATCAAAATAAAAATATTTCAAAGGTGACGTTGGTGACGAAATTGAAATTGACAGTTATCGGTTGTCGGTGGCGAAAAGGCCAAAAGTGAATTCTATTAGTTTTTAAGATTAAATTAATTTTATAGTGTACAATATTATTTATTTTCGAAATATATAAATCTTTCTTTCTACATTCGAATATTTTAGCGGTTTAACAGGAGCCTCAAAGGTAGGTCGACAGTGCTTGCTAGTTTTAATATATTTCATAATATTTTTCCAAATAAACAATGTTATCTACAATTAGTGTTTAATTGCTGTTAATAATAGTTAATTACATTTTTATATTTAGTTATTATGGCAGAAAATAACGATGATATCAATGATGAAGATATTATTATAAATGCTCAAGATGGGCTTCCAAATGTACATCCAAATTTATTACCCGAACAGGAAATAGATACTTCTGATCAGAATTCAGAGGATGATGAATATGAAGGACTTCCTTCATCCCTAATTGTCACTAACATTCATGACTCAGTTTTTAATAGTGAGGGTAAGAAAAAAATAACTTAAATATTTCTTTTTGTATTTTAATGCTTTGTACAATTTCTGCTACATCTATTGACAAAACCCATTTTTTGAACAAAACATTTGTTATTTTTTTCATGACTTCATTTCGTTATGCATTGATTTTGTTAGTAATTTTATGCTTATTAAATATAATTATATTTTAGATAAAAAAAGGGATTTAGAAAATCTTTTTAAATGGTACGATCCTGATGTTACATTTCAATGGTTAAAAAGTTTTAGGCGTTTAAGGGTTAATTTCTTAACTCCCTTGGCTGCCGCAACAGCAAGAGTTGAATTGCATCAATATAAGTTCAATGAATCAATTATAACATGTTATTTTGCTCAACCAGTGACACCAGTGAAAAATAGTTCTTTGCAACCACCAGCCCCATACAAACAGGTATCCATTTTATTTAAGTATTTATGACCATCAGGTTTAAGACTTAATTTACTGCAAAATACCTATTTCAACTGCAACAAAACAGTTTTTGAGTCAAAACTAGATGTAATCAATTTTTTCACTGTTTCAAATGGAATGACCTGTGTTTTATATCATGAATGAACACACAGGTTTTGTCTAACCTATATTTTTTGTAAAACACACATTATAACCAAGATCATTATTTATTGAATAATTTTAGCTTTTTTAAAATAAAACACTTTTTCTTTGATTTTTATTTTTCTGATTTGACATACAAAGTGTCATTCTTATCTACATGTGAATGAGCAAAAAAAAATACCAATTCACTATAATACACCAAAACACTTTACTTTTGTTTTGCTAACCATGTTAGCATCATCAGCACATGATTTTTATACAAAATAAAACATAACATAATTTTAAAACAAAACAGTAGGAAGACCGACAATAAATCACCCCATAAATAGTACAACAATAACAAATACTATGCAAAGTATTCCATCTGTTAATCCAACAACACATTTCAAATACATCCAAGCAGGAACTTAAAAGCTATAACCGTTGATTGAAGAAATAAGATGCGCAACCTTATGGACGATTTTTTGGTACAAAATCTGTCTGAGATGTAGCTGGCGTTACCCTCAAGCCTGTCTGAGAATTCCGAGATTTAGTTTAGCTCTGCGCCGCGCTGCGCGCTGCTAGTCGTTTACTGCCCAGCGCATAAAAAATACTGTACCATAGTTCTACTTTCAGTTGACAGAGTGAGTGGTTGCCGGGGACAGTGTTGCCAGAACTACTGATTAATCTGTAGATTTAAAGTAGGTACCTACAGTACGGACTTTCTATCATTAAGCAATTTAATATAATATTATATGATTAAACAAAGAACGGCGTTAGAGTTGGCTTGGAAATGTAGATGGGTGTTATTTCATATGTAAAATATTATAGTAAATCGTCATTTTCAAGCCAACTAAACGACATTTTTCGATCATAGGACATATTCAGTACTTATAAAAGAATTTTTATTTTTGTTGTTTATTTCATGTTTATCACAAACAAATTTTCAATACATAAACGCTGATTTTTCATCAAAAGATATTTTCGTCAAATGTATTACAGATATTACACATTTTAATATGGCAACACTGTCGCTTTCAGATCCACACCGTCTTCGATATGCCTTCGCTGGCCGAATTAGAGAAAGTAAGTTTTATGCGTTGACCGCAGAACAATTGGTGTCTCTACCATACAGCACTTGAGACGTAAGGAGAAATTAAATCAGCCTTGTACAAATTCGCCCATTATTATCTGACAAACAAATCTAAAACACCAAGAGGAATTCGCGCAAAAAAAGCGAAATTGCTCGATATTACCTATAAATTGAATATATTTTAGTTCATTACAGCATATATAATTATATATATTATGCTAATATCGTGACGTAGTGACTATTGTGAAATGTATATTTATGTAATTAACTGATTTCCTTCATTCTGCCTATTATAAAAGGCAAATTATTTCCTAAAGATAACGTCCGTTTCGAGTAAGCTGGCAACGCTGACAAAATTCATCATGGCATCCCAGATTCGACCAATCTGATTGGTGGTGTTATTGTAATGTGTTTTATGCCTTTAACTTGATTTGTGCTTGTTGTAATTAGTACACGCCTTTTACAAATAGGCAACGGCCCAGCTACGTCGAAACACAGGTTCCCATTAGAACACCGAAGTTAAGCGACGTAAGGCGATACTAGTGGATGGACGGGTGACCTGTTCGAAACTCTGTATCGTGCTGTTGTCCAAAGGCAAAAGTGTAAAATCTATTGACACACACTGCTCATTCACGACGGTTCGAGGCCGGATGAGATCGGATATCTCGTGAGTAAGAGTCGATTTAGACACTTGCCAAGTCGGTAGGCCATTGACCATGATATGGCCGAGGACCGCGGTTCGGATTCCGGGTAAACAAAGTAGGCCCCGTCCAGATTAGCCCTGGCAGCAAAAAAGGAGACGTTAACTTCAAATCTTTACTTTTTTTAACAAATATTACTATATTTGGCAAACAAATAATCAAAATGTAGATACATTTAAAGTAAAATAATACTATAAACTTTACTGGAAAATATTATAACAATTCCTGATATATTTTTATAAAACACCGCACGCTCCTGGATATTTTATGAATGAAATCGGTCATGATTTTAGAAAATTGCGATCCCCTTACCGTTGGCCCTATGTTTCAGATCCGTTTGTCAGAATAGGTTGCGTATCTTCCCAATTATTTCAATCAAGGCTATAACTAAAAAAATCGTCCAATTTGTAAAACCAGGTTTTCAGCTAGTATGGCATCGCTTGAACTTACTTAGACTAGGCATATTTATTTTTCTTTCTCTCTTTGTGTTCTGAACCAAGCAAGAAACCAAGAAGCTTTTTAAATAAGACAGATGTTCTTTTATTTTAAGCATATTATTTTAGTGATGTTGATTCTTAACAGATTGCAAAAATGAACCTGTCAAAATAGACATTATCTTTTTAGTTCCTTATTTCTCCACCGGCATCTCCTCCTGTAGACTGGGAACCGCGTCCAGAGGGAGAGCCTATCATTAATCATGACCTACTTGCAGCCTTAGCAACACTTACACCTGGTGGTTCCCACGAACTACATCCACCATCACCTGGTCAGCCAAGTATTGTGGTACACACGGCGTTAGGTAAGTTCAATTTCCCTGTCTTGAGTTCTGATTATAACATTTTTTCCTTGGTTGAAATCGACATATGTAAATAACTATGATTCGCGATTTAATTTTGCCACGTATTACAGTAATTAATAACGGTTTATATTTTTTAAAGCAAATACAAATATAAATACTTTATTGCCGACAAAATGATCTTCCCGATTACAAAGCAACGTCACAGAACAGATTATATTATCCCATTACAGAGTATATTATCCTAGAACACTAAAATATAGTAATAATTACAAAAATATAACAATAATAAAAATTCAACAATATTCAGAAAAAGGACATAATTAAAATTCAAAGCAGTTATCAGTTTGTACTCGTTATGATGAGGATACTATATTTTATCATACAAAAAAAGTATACACTTTACCATGAATTAAGAAACAATGAGACGATTTTCTTTCAATAGTTTTGTGTATATTTTCTTCATGGAGCGCTATAATCTAGGTGTTGCCGATAAAAGACGGACCGCTAGTTGCTCTACGCCATCCCCACGCATAAATAAACCCATTTAGATAACGATGTTATGGTACGTACAACAAAATTGGGAAACATTACTCTTTATTTCAAAAATCGCTCTAGATCCAAACACATGCATATGATGAGCAGTTTAGGAGAAGTCACCATGGCTAGATTTTTTTTTGCTATAACTCAAAAACTAAGGGAGATACAAAATACAGTGAAGAGATCGATTTTGTAAAGAATTCAATTTCCTATTTATCTCTGATTGTTACAAAGTTAATGGAGCATGAAGTTTTTTGATAACGGGCGGACATACTGATATTTTGCTAAAACTATGTTTTTTTTGGATTCGTGACGTCTCAAACCGTTGAGAAAAGTGTTTTTAGCCATAGTCAAACTTCGCTCTAAACCAAACCCCCAACCCAAACCAATACTTTTCTTATCATAAATAATTATGAAAAGTAAAAACATGTAAAGATGACAACAAATGTCTGCATAATTGAACATGCCGTGTTTAGCGCGCCTGACGAGCGTTGGCCGAGTCTGACAAGGCTTTCGGGATGTTCCACATTAGCCAGATAATATTTGAAGCTGTAGTTATAATTCTAGTTAAGTTAGTTAGTAAGCTGGTTAATCAAGACAAATTTTTAGGACTGCGAAAATAAGGGAGGTTTCAATAATTTTTATCCAATTTTTCACCTGCCAGACATATTACCCATTCTCTCAGATTAACCAGACTATTTTTTGTAACTGCACATCTCTCAATAATAGAACTATTTTTATCGCTGGAAAAAAGTGCTGAATATTTGTACTTTCTAACGTATTTTCCGCCTCAACCCATCGGAACCCTTCCCCCCTACATATACCTACGTGTAAGATAGTGATGTAGACAGCTTAATGGAAAATCAAATGTATTAAAAAGAGATAAAAATTGGGTCGATACATTTCTTCTTTGCGGTATTGCCGGATTTAGTATCAAAATTTCAAACCGCACAAGTAGTCGTTTACGAAAAATCTTGCATCTAGGGTTGGAACTTTATTTTTCACTATTAGTTACTCATTTTACTACAGCTGTAATAGATTATAATTAGTTTAGATATATTATCATCATTTCAGTAGTATACATGAAAGCATTTAAATAGCTTATATTTTTCTACACCCATTTTCCTACAAACGTAAAAAACCGGCAACACTGTATGCCGCTTTTTATTTTGTCTCTCTGTCTGGCAACCGGTCATTTATATTTTTCTCTGTCACACACATTAAAATCCAGACCACATAAATTGGATGACCAGCATGGTATAAACATTACACTCATTTTTGTTTCAGCTGCAAGTAACGCGACAGGAGCTAAACCTAAAATAATTCAAACTGCGCGGCCTGACCATTTTTAGTCAAATTTACTTTTCACAATTCTGTAAATAAAATTCAACTATTTTTGTCTGTCTTTCATCTCTCAAACTTTTAGACGATACATCACATACATATACTTATTTTGGCAAATTAAACACATGTTGAGGTTTTGAAGAATATTATAAAGTTCTTAAACACATTGTAGTTGAAAGAAAATAGAATTTTAAACTTTATTTGAAATTTGTATAGTTGTAAAAATTATTTTATGCAAGTTTAAAAAAAAATTGTTAATCCGTTTAAACAAATACATATTTGGTTGTTTAAATTAAATCAAAATTTTTGGATAAATAACTACTTAGTTTTTTCAAGTCAATAATACCAATTTATATTTTAATATAATTATACATTTTAAACATACTGTCCTTAGCAACAGAATAAGAATCGACAATAAACCTAAATACAAAACAACGAATTGATCATATTTTAATTAAACCTTCACGTCACATAATCCTTAAATGACATTCGATTATAATTTCCCCTGTAAAAAAAATACATAAAAATTGTCCAAAACATAATATAATATTTAACTAACAGTCTCTAGACATTAATTAATTTAAATGTTTTTTATTGAATGGGTTTGTATGTGAATATTTGGCGGGTCTGAACTTTTTTATCTGTTTTCATTTAAATATAACAAGTTTTATGTCATTTTTTTAAGAAATAACATATATAGGACGACTCAACAAATATCGATTGTCGTCTCGAAGGTCACTATGACGTATTTTTCGATCGTTTGGTACTTGTGCTATACAGATATTTAAAACTGACTAATTCAACTATCCATTCTTCTGTAGGCCTAAGAATAAAGCTTACTCAGGAATTTCAAAACCTTTTATTTGAAGCTAAAGTTAAATTATGATGTATAATCATCTAGAAGAGTACAGTATTTTCATATAACCGATCAATTATTATTTTTTAACAGAAACCAATTTCAAAAATAGTTTGCCTCTTAAGTGTATGTATAATATTTTATTAAAATGCAAATCTAGCTAGCAATTTTTTTTAGTTTTATTGTAAAAATGTCTTAAATCGTTTAACTTAAAGTGTAAAGCTGGATTTATAAACTCGGAAGTTGGCGTTCAGTTGAGGTTCAGTTGCAGTTGGATGTTCGCGGCAGTTGAGGTTCAATATTTTTGCATTTATAAACTGTCAGTTTCGGTTGTAGGTTAGGTTTGGTTTTTTAATTAGTAGGGGTTTAAATTAGTGTGAAATTAGTGAAAATTTCGAACGTTTTTCTTTCGATTTAAAAATACTTTTGGTATTTGTCAAAGTTCAAACACAGTAATCCACGATTACGCAAAATATAAACATTGCATTAACAGAAATAATGAAACAACAATAAGGATCATTTTCCAATGCATCGGCGTACCACGGCGTACTGTGCTTCACGTGATCGACAGGCGCTTATTCATTGGCTGTCGCCGAACGTCGCCAGCGGTCACCAACTGCCCGCAACTGCCGACATAAACATTGACCATCTTTGAACTCCGCTGAACGTAAAACGAACTGCCAACTTTTCGACCAACTGACTTTATAAATACGCGTGTTCATTTCATAGCGTTGAACATTTTGAACGGCAACTGAACCTCAACTGAACCTCAACTCTCGAGTTTATAAATCCAGCTTAATGATTTACACGATCTGCATTTTGGACAAAATGGATGTATCGAACTATCTCTTGTTGTATCTCTTATTGTTATTGTATGTCCATGTATATGTTTAAATTATTGTTTGTTCTATTTATTTTATTTAGTTTGTAAGTATTTTGTAATATATTAAATTTAATATAGTTTATTAAAGCAACTGGAAATGGATTTTCTTTCAGTGGCTCCTTCTATTTTATTGACAAATTGACAATTTGAATTTACCTGGAGAGTGGAAGTTTGCTCTATGGTTGACGTTGCATTACATATATTTATATATTTGTAAAGTAACCATATTGACCCCAAAGTGCATTATGTGAAGCCGAGCCGGTGAAATGGGTATATAAATCCTCTGAAGGAATTTGCATAAGTCGCTCAGTTAGCCCTGCTCAAGCGTAGTACGCAAGCCTGGATTTTGAGTTATCGATCGGATAACTAGACCAATCACAGACTAGACGCTAACACCAGCTGTTCATTCGTACGGCTTCGTCCAACTTCGTACGGCTTTTGTTTGCGCACCCGTTCGACAATTGGCTAATCCCCAGAGCAGAGTAAGTAAATCGACGAGTAGCGACAGTCCGGTTTTCAATTTTCTTTGCGGCTAGCCCGCGGCTGCCCGAAATAAGTGGGCGATCTGTCATATGAAGAAGCGAAGTTGCTACTGTTGCCATTTATCAAATATCTCTATATACTCATATTTTCAAGTATGCCTCAAGCAACGAATCATTTTTTTAATTATTTATTAGCTGTAAGATATTTTATACTGTACGTCTGCTGGATCTGTGTCTATGAAAGGAATGCGGACAAAAAACAATTAAATAAACAACAATATATTTGATACGTCGACTTGACGAGTACGTCACCGCAAATCGCTCTGCCCACTCATTTTATTGGCTACTTGCAAATTAGTCGAATTTTTATTGATGGGACGCGTCGTCTAATTTTTTACGAAAAACATCGAGAGAATATCGTTTCCCCTCTCACGGATACCCCGTAGCTACGGAACAGACAGACGTACTGTACATTCAAATTTAGAAATAGGGATTAAACGAAACAAAAAAAAATATGTATAAAACTTTATAATTAATTCCACTTCAAATTATGAGCTGTGTATAACATGTTTCTAGGACCACTTCATAAGTTGAGCAGTTAAATACGTAGTCTATCTGTCAAACACGTCAAAAGAGAGAAAGAAAATTTGGTCCCACTACATCAAAAGAGCCGACGGTTTCTATCGCTACTCGTCGATCCACTTACTCTGCCCAGAGTAAGAGCTAATCGATATTCGGAATTTTGGAGTTGCGCTATTGCGCCAGTGTCTGTCTAATAGTCTAATAGACGAACTCATGTGAAATATATATGGACCAGTTATCTAGTTGTCTCTAACTTGGCTTCAACTCCTACACATTGCAAGGATAGGCGGTAATCTGTATATAGTTTATATGCATATGCATATATTCAATACCAATTAAACTTTTAGCTAGGTAATCGAAGACGCGATCTTTAAATTCATTGTTGCCAACCATAAACATATGCGGCGCTGTGCTGTCTAACTGGAAGCTCTGCTGTAAAAAATGTCAAGTTGCCACATTTATTTATTTATTTCCTGACATTGTCATTCGTTTTGACACTTTAGTTTTGTATTACTTATTTTTGGTTTAAATGAATTGTGTGATATTTTAAGCTTAAATTTTTTTAATAGCAGACCTTGCAGTCGAACGTTGTTCTTTTTAGAACCTCTTTTAGTCCGAATTGTACAAGATAGCTTAATAGCCGTAAAAGGCTCATCGCAACATTATTCGAATATTTTTAACGGAAAAGCGGTAGAAATGGTCCTTTAAGTGCTGTTAAGGAAGTGAGTTTTGTTGATGTAAATAATAACTGTTTATATATTAATAATTATTTTTTTTTTCCTAAAATATTTTGATTAAAAGAAAATATGTAAAAGTGGGCAACGCTGTGCCAGTCAATCTTAATCATGTGACTAACTGTTTATATGATATGAACTATACATTGTTTTTTTTTGCTCAGAGACTTTGAATTAATACAATATGATCGAAAAAAACGGCGTCAGCCATCGCTATGAAATGAAGATCACTGTAATTTTATATCTAAAATTATATGGAAAATGTCATCGATGTTCATTTCCAAGCCAACTGACGCCGTTTTTTTTCGATCATACAGAATATTGGTACTTAATTAACTTGTACGGTATTGTATGTAAAGTAATGTAAACATAAAGAAAAATATATTTTTTGAATTAATTAGTTTCTTCTATAAGTCGTGTCATCTTATTTTTATGTTAAAAGTAACCAAATTTGATACATTTGATGAATCGTTTTCTGCAATGATAACCAAAGCTCAGCCCCGGATCTACAATTTTTTTGAACCGGGGTAAAAAATTGATAGTAGCGCCCCCTCTCTCCAGCGTTTGCAATAAGTTAATTTAAAAAAACTTACAAATATCTCTGCAAATGTCTAGATATATGTAGATAGGCATGTTTCGTAAACCGGACAGAATGAGCCCTTAAGCTTCTTTCAGAACCTCCGAATTAGTGGTTTCAATTGGCGTAGCAGTTTGTTCCTTTAATTTCAATGTAAGCATTCAGAACGTCTAAATTAGTGGTAGTAATTTTCAATTATGTAGTAGAAAAAGTAAACAAACGTTTGACTTTTCCACGTTTGACTTTTCTTTTGTACTTCAAATTTTGCGGGAAATGTCATTTTGGCCTTGGATTAGTATCCGTCAAGATAAATTGTGGTTAGAATATATTAGAAGAGATATTCTATTAATTTTAATTGTGTTTTTTAAACATTGTGGATGATCGTAAACTAAAAAGTATAAAATGTAATAATTGAAACCGCTAATTTATTCCACTAATTGCGAGGTTCTGAATGAAACTTTAGAATGTGTTCAAAAACTAACTGGGCGTTTTAAAATTAAATGAATACTTGATAGAAGAACGTAACGGAGCGTTTTGTGGAGCAATTTTTTTTTGATTTTCAACCATATCATATTCGCCCTCTGACACTGGCGCCCGGGGCAGGTGCCCCGGTTTACCCCCCCTTAGATCCGGGGCTGCCAAAGCTATATGATGATTTTTTCCTTAGGAGTATGCATTCCGGTTATCATCAAAGTAAGAAATTACATAATACTGCGCGTCATAAGTCACTAGCGAGAATAATTATTATAGGTAATAGTAAATCACAGAAAAAATGTTTATGAACACTATACACATATATTTTTTCTTAGCTGCACCCTCTTTATAAGGAATGATTAATAAACTACGAAATCTTTCAATATTCTTTATTCTTTCGGACATTTACCTATATACAAATAGAATTACAATTATCTAAAAATAAGATAAATATATCTATGCAATAGCATGAAAAATTATTAAGAAAATAGTCTTTCTTAATCAAAAATTAGTCTATTACCTATACTCGTACAAGTATATCAATAAAAGTATCACAGAATATGATAGTTTACCACAATAAAAATGCTTCCAACGAATTTTTGTACGATTTACAGATATAATCAAATTGATTCTTTTACGTATTTCGTAACATGTATAAAATGGAATACGTTCCACGTTAAGACTTCAAAGGTTGAAGCTGTTCACTTATTATTTTAGGTGACTCTTCATCGCTGTCTGCTAGTCCTTTTCCTAGACAAGTTGTAAAGCAAGTGTCGCCTATTCCAAAGTTTTCTCCGTCTTCTATAGTTTGAGGCATGACTTTATTCAACGTTTCGGGCAAGAACATGACTAAAAATCCGGAGATTAAAGAGATTACTGCGAAAATTGTCGACGGCAATGTTGGGTCAAAGGAATCAAAAAGAATAATGAGTGGTGTTAGAGCTCCAGAGGTTCTCGCGCACATTGATCCAATTCCCATTGCAGAATTTCGAATAACAGTTGGGAAAAGTTCGGCTGAGTAATTGTAAGTGACAGCGAAAGAACTGGCGATCAGAAATTTTCCAGCGCAGACAAATCCAGTCGCTACCAAGCTACCCATCGCTAGATTTGCGGCTATGATGCAACACAGTCCTCCGAGGATCATGTTGAATGCTATAACAGATCTACGACCTAGTCTGTCCATAACGTAAACTGTTACGACGTAGCTCGGGAGCTCTATCGATCCCATGATGAACAAAATAAGGTAAGGATTGCCTTTAAGACTGCCCGTGCTTAAGGACAGTCCGTAATATACTAAAGAATTAGCGAACCATGCTAAACACACGTTCAGAGTCATTTTTCTTAATCGAGGCGTTTTGAACAGATCCATCATTCCGGCATCTTCAACTTCCTTTCTGGTTTTCGTTGGGCTTTTAGCCACGAAGTCGGTAGAATTTAAGTTTACGGGACTGTTGTTCATTTTTAAGGCTTTCTTTATGATATCGATGGACTCCTTGGTTCGACCATTCGCCCACAGCCATCTAGGAGATTCGTCCATCAGCCAGATATGACCTATGAGCAGTAAAGCGTGACATCCGTAAACAATTTGCAGTGTTTGGCTGTCTTTTATAATTGAACCCCAAGCAGCAACCTAAAAAATATAAAAGTACTATAAGATTAATCTACTAAAATTAAAATAATAGTCTGCAAAAGGGATAACCCACCGGGAATTACTGTGATTGATATAGCAAAATGGATAAGTATATAAGTAACGAAAGATGAAATTTTGTGTTATTGGTGGTCCATCTTTTGTCAGTCCTTCTGCTTGTTTTTTTTTAAATCAAAATTAAAAAAAAAACATTAATCAATAATAATAAGATTTTCACATACTATTTGCAAAGAAAAAATAGCAGAAATATTAAGAAAGTTTTTGAGAAAAACTACAATCAATTATTTCGAATGGATTTTGAGATATGGATTTTTGAATTCAGAATTCTAATAGCGCGACCGCTGTCGAACACCAAATTAATTCTTATTTTTACCAACAGTGCAAGTGTTTCTAACTTGCACTTAAAAATTTACAAGCTATAGGGAAAATTACAACGACTCGTTTGTAAATAAACAAATAAAGTATCACGAGACGTAATTAAACCGTGAAGCTGAACGCATGATGTACAGTTTGGCAAATATAGGAAGAGACTTGGGGATAGCACGGTCGCGCACACGATAGAGAGAGAACGCATTTGGCGGAAGAGAGATGCAGTTACGCTACGAAAAATCTGATTAAAGCAAATTTGTGGGCTGTCCACTGCGCATCGAGGGGCGTCTATTATTTTATATTTCTCACGTCTCTAGCTATACTTGTTAAGTTGTACACTCCTTCCTAAAATTTTAAGTACTGATATGGTTCTGATTACTGATTGGGTCTTCCGCGACGAATATGCTTATCCCCTTCCACGTCTCTTAGCAATGTGCACAGTTTCTCGGTTTATTTCATACGTTTGGCAACGTGTTTACTGTTCTATCTTTGTTCAATACATTATAAACGCATTGCACTCTTACATACAGAAATATCGACTCAAGACTAACATTTGCCAGCCCTTGGTATAAACAAGGGTATTTTAATAACACCAACCAACATTGTAATCAAGCCGAATATTTTAACATATTTATATTTTTTTTTAAAAGAAAGGTAATTACCCCCATTACCTCTCCTGTATATACGCTTCTGGTGTGGACGTGGTTGATAGTGTTGAAACTACTATGAATTCGGCTTGTTGTGGTGGCACCTAAATATCCATTTTGTTATATCAATCGAAGTAGTTGCTCCCGATATTATTTTGAAATCCATAGAATGATTAGACCACAACTTTTACTGTCATAAGAATATTGTTTCGCTGGACAGACTATACCTAATTAGCCAAAAGAAATATGATAAAATACATTTTATTTTTAAATGAATACCCTTATAATTTTGATTTTGATAGTTTTTTTTCGTTGATAAATATCTGTAAAAATATGTTTAACCTACCAGCATTATTCCGAAAGCAAATGCAGCTTGGAACGATATACCACAGGCAGATCTTTTACTGGGTCCTACCAGTTCCATGGTAAGTACGAATCCCGGTATGTAGCTTCCAGCAGATCCAAATATACCGTACAGGTATCTCATAATGATGAATGAGTAATAATTAGGAGTAAAAGCTACCCCTACACCCAATAATAGTTGGAGGACAGCGGACCAACAAAATACAGGTTTTCGCCCATATTTGTCTGCCATGTTTCCTAAAGTGACGGCGCCAGTGAAGACACCAAACATGTACATCGATTGGGCAACTGCACCCATCCATCTAAAAATAGATAATAGAATAAGTGTCATCAAATATTATGAAAGTAAAAAGTCCCATTCAGAAACCTCGAAATTAGTGGAATAAATTAGTGATTTTAATTATACTTTAAACGTATGAGATTACGATCATTCACAATGTCTAAAAAAATACAATTAATGACAGTAATCGAAAATTTTGAAGTATAGTTAGTGGGCAGTAGTTAAAGTTTGTTAACATTTTCTACAGCTTCATTCAGTTTCAGTTTGGTTTGGAGTTTTACCTCGAAATTAGTGGAATGAATTAGTGGTTTCAATTAGCGTACGAGTTTGTTCCTTTAATTTCAATGTAAAGGTTCATTCAGGACCTCGCAATTAGTGGAATAAATTAGTGGTTTCAATTACACTGTACACTTTTTAGTTTACGATCATTCACAATGTCTAAAAACATAATTAAAATGAATAGAATATCCTAGCAACCGTTTGCGGTAATCAGTTGTATCCATTGAGAAAGACAAATATTTAGCTTATAAAACAATCAACTTTTGATCTCTAACCACAATTTTTCTTGACAATAAGAATCAAAGAGCAACATGACATTCTTCGCAAATTTTGAAGTATAATTAGTGGAAAAGTTAAAAGTTTGTTAACTTTTTCTACTAATTGAAAATGTCTACCACTAATTTTGACGTTTGAACGCTTACACTGAAATTAAAGGAAAAAACTTCTACGCTAATTGAAACCACTAATTTATTCCACTAATTTAGAGGTTCTGAATGAAGCTTTAGTTTACGATCATTCACAATGTCTAAAAACATAATTAAAATGAATAGAATATCCTAGCAACCGTATGCGGTAATCAGTTGTATCCATTGAGAAAGACAAATATTTAGCTTATAAAACAATCAACTTTTGATTTCTAACCACAATTTTTCTTGACAATAAGAATCAAAGAGCAACATGACATTCTTCGCAAATTTTGAAGTATAATTAGTGGAAAAGTTAAAAGTTTGTTAACTTTTTCTACTAATTGAAAATGTCTACCACTAATGTTGACGTTTTGAATGCTTACACTGAAATTAAAGGAAAAAACTTCTACGCTAATTGAAACCACTAATTTATTCCACTAATTTGGAGGTTCTGAATGAAGCTTTAGTTTACGATCATTCACAATGTCTAAAAACACAATTAAAATTAATAATATATCCTAGCTACAGCTTGCGGTAATTAGTTGTATCCAGAGAGAAAGTCTAATATCTAGCTTATAAAAGAATAAACTTTTGATTTCTAACCACATTTTGTATTGACGGATGATAATCAAAGGCCAAAATGACATTCCTCCTAAATTTTGAAGTATAATTATTGGAAAAGTTAAAAGTTTGGTAACTTTTTCCACTAATTGAAAATTCCTACTACTAATTTTGACGTTCTGAATGCTTACATTAAAATTAGAGGAACAAACTTCTACGCTAATTGAAACTACTAATTTATTCCATTAATTGCGAGGTTCTGAATGAAGCTTAAGGCATTCAGTACGTCAAAATTAGTGGTAGCAATTTTCGATTAGTGGAAAAAATTAACAAACTTTTTACTTTTGCCAGTAATTATACTTCAAAACTTGCGAGTAATGTCATTTTAGTCTTTGATTCATCCGTCAAGAGAAATTGTTGTTAGACATACAAAGTTTATTGATGGTTTATTGTTTTATATACTAATTATTAGGTTTTCTCTATAGATACAACTGACTACCGCAAGCTGTTGCTGGGATATTATATTAGTTTTAATTATATATATGTTATCCTTATGCATGTTTAAAATTTTCTTTCAATGAGCGAAAGTTTGAGCGATTATTTAGTTATAATGCACCTAAATCTCATTAGCGGACACTTTAATTTTAGAATCTGGCACTACATCTACTTCTAAAAAAAAAGTCAAGCAATATTTAAAAGAAAGGGATCAATATTAATGTGGAATTTCTTTTCCTCTCTTTTATTTTACATTTATTCTCTCTTAAATCTAAAAATAGGTTAGTTTAGTTTAGTTTTAGTAAATTAGTTTAGCTTAGTATTCTTACATAGTTTAAAATATTTTTGTTTAATTTCATCTTACCTGGACGGTTAGATTAGATAGTTTTTGCTAGATCGCGCCGTCAGTTCTATGTAATTATATGTATTAATATCTCCCGTATGATCGAAAGAAAAAACGGCGTCAGCGATGGCTATGCAATGAAGATCGCTGTCATTTTATATGTAAATTTATATGGCAAATGTCATCGATCGTCATTTCCCAGCCAACTGGACGCCATTTGTTTTCGATCATACGTATAACTATCAAGAAAACCATATTTTTATAAACCATTTATTATTATTATTGTCTGCATTTGTCGACGCAAAAAAGGCATAAAACTTTCTAGTAAATAAAATTAAGGAGTAAACGGGTTTCTTAAAACTGCATGGAGGTTACTGCACTTTCCACATGCGTTTCTATAGGTATTTAGGAGTTTTAAAAATAGATTTTTGATTTTTATAGTCAACAGCACAAGGATTGAGATATTTAAAACGTTGTACATTCTGGCTATTTCATAATTTAATTTAATGTCTTTTTTTTAAATCACACTGTAACTTTTGTTAAGCTATTACATATGTATAAGGTATAAAACTAACTATAAATTTTAATATATTTACCTTTTGTCGCACACAAAACTCCATTCTATAGCTTTCGACGACTTATAATATTGATCATCGTAAACCCAGGAATTACATCCATAAGTTTCATTCGTCGTTATATTAATCAAATGACAGTTATCCAGTTTGCCATTTGCTAATTTTGGAATGTATAGGTCTAGTAAGGAAGTGTTGCTAGATGATACAAGGTTTTCTTGCGGTATTGCACATCTGAAATAAAAACATAATTAAATAAAAACATATCGGAAAATAAGCAAAATTATTAACGATTATACAGGGTGTTTCAAAAAACATGTGCCATCTCTCATGGGGAGATTCCTCACGTAAATGTAAGAGTTATTTTTCATATCAACATAGGACCGATTCTGCTTTGTTTCGTAGCTACAGCAATTAAAATTTCAATATTTTTTACGATTTATTATAATTTTCTTCCAAGTACTTTTAGCGTTTTGAATGAAATTTTGGAGGTAAAAGTTACTAAAAATGCGACTGAGAGCTTACGACCAAGAAAATCAAAGATCTTCCTGGAGTTAAGTAAGAACAATCTTCGGATTGTCGCGTGGTTTTTAACAAGACACTGTTTCTTCAATGAACACACACCTCAGTTTGGAACCAGTTTGGAACACCAGAACACCTCATCACTGAGTGCGCCGAGACGACAACTATTCGTGCCATGAACTTTGGTACGAATGATATTAGAGATGGAGAACTATCCTCTGTAAAACCGTCCCAGATACTGGCTTTTGAGCTTTTTTCAAAGCCCTGGGACTGTATGATGAGCTATAACTCAAGAAAAGGGGACACAATAGATCTGTGCACAAGGCCGCACTGATTCCAACCCCCCCCTCCCCCGCCTACTTATTCTCAATTCTATTATAAATGTGACATATTTTAAAGCTAAAAAAATGTAGACGTATTCACCATGTACGTGCATATGGGTAGGTAATCACTGGAATATTTTTCAAAAAAAAGCATGTACGCCACTGACATTTTTTTCTCTTGTTAGCGAAATAGTGTAAACAGTTTAATGCTGAAGCTGATTAAAAGTTGTCTCTTGATATTTTGTCGATTTCGGCCCCCTTGATGAGATAAATGCATTTTAATTAATTTGCCTTGATCCAAGTCTAATAGCAACTTTTAAAAAATTTTAATATCATTAACTGGCGAAAGTTTTAAATAAATACTCATTGATTCCTCATCAAAAAATATGAAAAAAAGTTCCTTTAAATATGAGTATTATTTTATAAAATTAGGTTTTTTGTAATTATCTTAAATACCATTATTTTTTTTATTTGAAATTAGGTAGGTTGTACTAATAGTAATAATATTTAATAACAAATTAGGTAAAATTTATAATTTATCTCATCAAGGAGGCCGAAATTGACAAAATATCAAGAGACAACTTTAATTGGCATTAAACGGCCTACACAATTTTGATATCAAAAGAAAAAAAAGTCAGTGACGCACATGTTTTTTTTGGAAAATATTCCAACCAAACCTTCATGTATTTATCGACACTTTTTTAGCATTAAAATATGTAGCACTTATAGTAACTTTTACCCTTAGAATATAATTCGAATCGCTGAAAGCACTTGGAAGAAAATTATAATAAATCGAAAAATTATGAACATTTTAACACCTTGTAGCTACGAAACAAAACAGAATCGGACATATGTTGATATGAAAAATAAATCTTTTTTTTACGTAAGGAATCTCCTCACGAGAGATGGCACATGTTTTTTGAAACACCCTGTATATTTAGCAGAGTTGGGCATCAGCACGTCAAGAATACGTCGACTATGAAGTAAATACCGACAATGTCGAGAATGTCGCAGGCGCAGGTTCGAGATTAGGTTTATCATTAGAAAAGGAGTGGTTATTACTACCCCTCTCTCCTTGATTGATTAATTATAATTCATTTCTCCGGATATTTTTGATTATTTAGTTTGAACTTTACAACCGTGGTTATTGTTTGCCGTTGTTTATTTATTGGCAGTACATTACACTTTAAGTTTATAATTATGAGTTAAAAATGTTGAAATGAGTGGTACTACACACACCGGAAAAGTCTAGGGATATTACACTTTTATCCAGCCATCATCAGTAATTTTATTATTTGCATTTCTGATATAATAAAATTAAAATAAACAAATAGTTTACAGGACGTATTGGAAATAAAAATGCGAAATTTACCGAATTTTTCAAATTTACCTTGATTTTTATTGAACTCAAAAAAATATACACATTTTTTTTTAATTCTAAACTGTGAATTAAAAAAAAAGATAAAACCATTTTTTTACGTCTCTCCATCCTGATCAGGTTGTCGATCTCTTCTTGAGGTACAGCCTGCCACGCTGCATTCACGGCCCGAACCAGATCCCTACGAGTTTCACGAGGCATACCCATTCTCAAAATTCTTCTTTGGATCGCGTCCCATACGTGCTCGATGGGGTTGAGGTCAGGAGATTGTGCCGCCCAGGGTAAGATGTTTAATTGATGAGCATTGATAAACTCACTTACCGCTCTGGCTGTATGAGGCCGTGCATTGTCATGCATGAGAATGAAGTTTCTCCCAAAATCATTGGCATATGGTAACACGACAGGCTCAAGAATTAAATCACGATATGTGATTCCTGTTAGAAACCTTCCAAGAAAAACGAGATCGGTTTCGGCCTAACTGACTCCTCCCCAGACCATAACTGTTCCACCTTGATAAGGGTGCACTTCCTGAACATGATCCAACCGAATAAAATTTCCCGGTTCTCTCCATACCCTAAGCCTTCTCGAATCCGATGAATTCCAAAGCGTGACTCATCCGTGAAGAGAACATTGGCCCATTGTTCATTTGACCACTGAACATGATCTTGAGCCCACAAATATCGTACCTCTCGATTTCCTCTCGTTAAGGGTTGAGCTCTCCAGGGGCGTCTGCTTCTTAAGTTGACCTCTCTTAATCTATTGCGAACAGTGTCAGGACTAATGGTTACATTATGTGTTTCCTGGAGAATTAAACTAAGCTCTGGTGCTGTAAGAGTCGGTCGGCGTCGAGCATTTAATTGTAAAAAATGATCTTGCTGAGGGGTAGTAATGCGATGTCGCCCTGTGTGCCTTTCAACAACATCACCACTTTCACGGTAGCGTGCACTTAATCGCGATATTACACTTTGCGTTTTATTTAATGCTCTAGCTACGTCGATTTGGCGCATTCCAGCTTCGAGCATACCCATGGCCCTTAGCATTTCGTCTCTGTTAAGATGTCTACGCTCCATAATGTCGTTTAATACTAAACAGAGTTATTTGAATGAATTTTGGCCAGTTATCATCAAAACATAGCCAGTACAGGTTAAATTCGAACAATTGATGCTAGGTGCTTTTTATACATTTGATAAAAAATGCACAAACACTTCTGCAAATATCCCAAATTTAGAAATAACTAGTGTGACTACTTCGTTTCAATCGAAGTAGAAAGAATCGGCCGACAAATATGTGGTTGTTTATTTAAATCATTGATTTTTAACTTTAATAAAATGATATCCCTAGATTTTTCCGGTGTGTGTACTTAATCTTTTGCATTTTTGCAGTCTGGCAACAGTGCGCTGGGTATCTGTAGCTCCTATAATAAAAAACTTTAATCGTAATTTTGTATAAGTGCAAACCTAAAGTATGTATTAGGATGTATTTCAGGAAAATATTTTAATTTTTACAGGGTGGCTCAAAAAAGTGTGAGTTGATCCGGATGATTTTTTAAAACAACCCTGTATATTATTGCATCTTTGGCTTCCTTTTTTATCGATTTACATAATCCTAAGATATTAGTAAATATGTTTTGATAGTTTCAGCCTTATTACAATTACATATTATTTGTAACACTAGTTATTTTACAAACATTGGCAAAATGTGAAATAAATAAAATTTTTGTTAATATCGCTGAAATAACAGCAAATATCAGAACTCAACTTTTCAAATATTCTGATATTTACAATGTAGTATTATAGTTTTACGTATCGTATTTTTTATTATTATGATTGCCTTATAAAATTTATTATAGGTAATCAATAACTATAGATAATAAGATTTTTATGTATTTTTAAATAATTTAATGTTTAAAAATCCGTAGAGCTCTTTTAAAAACTAAATTCTTGTTGATTCACAATCTCTTTCAATTATATCAAACTCATTAAAGTATCGAGTTTATAATAATATTGATTTTAATAAAAAAAAATCAAACATTACTCTATTATATTAATTTAACGAGTACCCTAGTTAGATTATATTAAGTAATTTTTTAGCGATAAAGTGCATAAATAATTTTATTAAAAAACTTTTAGAGATAACATTTATAACCTTTTGCATCTTATTAAAGCGACACACTTCTTCCATATTTTTATTTAAATAAATCAACTGCGTAATAATGTTAAGTGGGATATAATTTATATTGTTCTTTTGATGAATAATGAGTAGTATTATAGTGATTATCAGAATAAGAATAATTTAATTTAATATTACGGAAGTGTTTACGTTTTAATCGGTTCTGGAAAACTATACGAACTATACTAGAAACTAAGCATTTTATATAAAAATGAGAATTATAGTACAATAGTACTGTTGATTGAAGGATTATTTCTTCAATCAATGCTAATTCCAATTTTTCTGACATGCCTATGGTTTGCTCAATTGTCAACTGAGATAGTTCCTTGTGAGCTAATAAAATATTCGTAGTAGCAGACAAAAACTGAAGTTCTTTGAGTTAGAACAGTACATAAACTCGATAGGTATTCTAATAAAATCAAGACTTCCTTGGTATTGATCTTGCAGGGTCCAGTTTTGGCCTTTTGGCCTACCTAACATTATTTCTTATCAATCAAAAATTCCTAGTATCTAGACCTACCGATAATCGCGATCTCGAAAGTAACGTAACGACTGTAACGGGAGTATCAACGCCAATAGCGACCGACCAAAGCACGCCAGCAGTCGCGCAACCACTGGAACGAAACAGTCGCGGTATAGGTTGTTACCAGTTACACCTATTCGCGACAGACGAACCCGCGACTCTAGGAGCGCGACGGCTGGAACGAAACACATCGTGATTGAACTTTACCAGTTACTACTTTTCGCGACCGACGAAATCGCGCCCCTATAGGAGCGCAACTGTTGCTGGAGCGAAACACGTCGCTATACGGTTACTGCGGTTCGAGCTAACTCCTGGAGCGATTATAAATAATTTCTAGATTCGTCGTTATTATGTTCGTCGTTGTTCAGTAACAGGTTCCTGATTCGTTACAAAAAAATACCTCTCCAAAATCGCGTTACTCAAATACCGACACATCACTAATTCTTAGTGGAACACCCTGTACACAAAGTAACTAAGTCTCTAATTTGACTTGATAACAACAATGTTACTTAATTTTTACATAATCGTAACTCAGTAATAAGTACTTTCAATTATGCTGTAATAATACGTATAATTTTCTCAAAACCAAAACAATAAACCAGTTTGCATTTTCTTTATAACTCGAGACTGTAGAATTTAGATGAGTTCAATTGAATTAATCGCCGCATATATTACGTATAGTAATTTATTTAGTAGTTATTTTTACTTTTTTTATATCTGCATTATACCTGTGTTCTGGGACGGCGGCCACTGTAACTAGAGACAACATATTCAATCCTGCTGTTACAGCTGAGAGAATGTGTAAAGTGAATTGCCATGCTTGATATTTTCCGAAATCGCCTAAAACAAGAACAATAAATAAAATTAATTTAAATTATCAAATAAAATGTGCTTTGCTGAAAAAGTTGTATATTGCTCAAAAAATAATATTTAATTTTTATAAAATAAATATTTGCCTCGATATTTGCTTAATTACAGCGTGTAAAAAAATAAAGTACCAAACTTCAGTGAGTGATACCACAGATAATAATAAAATAAAAAGTTCCTACGAACATAACATGCCCAAATCAATATCAAAGTTATACAAGGTGTCCAAATTAGAGGTGGTCGTTCATTTGAACGAATATTAAAAATGATCCTGAGATTCGATTCACTACTTAGAATACGGTTCGTTCAATTGAATCGTGGCCAGCACGGTGTCGTATTATTGTTCAGAGACTCGGCTAAATATATACGGCTGAATAAACCAGGAGCAAAACTTAGTAACTTTTATTGAAAAACGGCAGACACACTATAAACAGAAACTACAACTACAGATTATTATCGTTGTTACGACATATACACATAATGCAGCCAGCCATATATACATACCGAATTGTCTGGTCACGGATCCATAAAATTTAAACGAAAGAGTCGTAAAAGTCGTGAAAATTGAATCGGATCACAATGCGATCGTTCGTTTCTATGGCTCGTTCGTTCATAGAGTCGTGAGAATTGATTCATTGCTTACAATTGGGTTCGCTCAATTGAATCGTGGCCACCACGGATCCATAAAATTTGAATGAAGGAGTCGTAAAAAAAAGTCGTAAGATGGGAATCGGATCACTATGCGATCGTTCGTTTCTATGGCTCGTCCGTTCATAGAGTCGTGAGAATTGATTCATTGCTTACAATTGGGTTCGCTCAATTGAATCGTGGCCACCACGGATCCATAAAATTTGAATGAACGAGTCGTAAAAAAAGTCGTAAGAATTGAATCGGATCACTATGCGATCGTTCGTTTCTATGGCTCATTCGTTCATAGAGTCGTGAGAATTGATTCATTGCTTACAATTGGGTTCGCTCAATTGAATCGTGGCCACCACGGATCCATAAAATTTGAATGAACGAGTCGTAAGAATTGAATCGGATCACAATGCGATTGTTAGTTTCTACGGCTCGTTCGATCAAATAGTGGTGAGAATTGATTCATTGCATACAATTGGGTTCGCTCAATTGAATCGTGGCCACCACGGATCCATAAAATTTGAATGAACGAGTCGTAAAAAAGAGTCGTAAGAATTGAATCGGATCACTATGCGATCGTTCGTTTCTTTGGCTCGTTCCTTCATAGAGTCGTGAGAATTGATTCATTGCTTACAATTGGGTTCGCTCAATTGAATCGTGGCCACCACGGATCCATAAAATTTGAATGAACGAGTCGTAAAAAAGAGTCTTGAGAATTGAATCGGATCACAATGCGATCGTTCGTTTCTATGGCTCGTTCGATCAAAGAGTGGTGAGAATTGATTCATTGCTTATAATTGGGTTCGCTCAATTGAATCGTGGCCACCACGGATCCATAAAATTTGAATGAACGAGTCGTAAAAAAGAGTCGTGAGAACTGAATCGGATCACAATGCGATCGTTCGTTTCTACGGCTCTATCGTTCAGAGTCGTGAGAATTGATTCATTGCTTACAATCGGGTTTGTTCAATTGAATCGTGGCCAGGATCCATAAAATTTGAACGATAAGCCGTAAAAAAGAGTCGTAAAAATTGAATCGAATTACAATGGGATCGTTCGCTTCTACGGCTCGGCGGTGATATAGGCATAGAGAGAGTCGGGCATCAATATTTAGACTTGAACAAAAGCCCTAAACAAATATCATGGGCATGAAATGCAAACGTTTAGAAAATTATTTACAAAAAAAAACTTATTTATACTGTACTTAGTACTGGAGTATCAGTAATGAAATTAATTTTCAAGTGAATATTTTTGTTAAAATAAGATTTACCGACTATAAAGCATTAAATGTCGGACTAAGACGACATAGTGTTTTTATGCAACTCTAAATAAATATTGTTGTGCTCTGCTCAATATGATGAAAAAACGGCGTCAGCGATGGTTATAAAATGAAGATCGCTGTCATGTTTATGTAAAATTATATAGGAAATGTTATCGATGTTCATTTCCAAGCCAACAGGTGGCCATTTTTTTTCGATCGTGCGGTAGTATATACTATACTATTTATTATTAAATCGGAATTAAAATATGCTCTAAAAATATTAAATTGGTATTAAGAAGTCTTCAATAAATGATAAATATGAATTAGATTCATAACTTAATCCAATTACGCCAGTGCTATAAAGTGTTGAAAAAACAAATAAAAGAACTGTATATTTTGGTTTCTAAAAAAAACTATTGGTTTCTTAAGTCCGTCCGACCAAATTATCGCCGGTAGTGCCTGTTACGATTCTTGTTTTTATGAAACGTAAATTGCGCATGTGGTTCGTTCAAATGAACGAATCATAGGAGTTGATGCAATATGAGAAATTGAATCGTGTGAATCCATTCACTAAAAAGAATTGTAATGCCCATCACTAGTACAAATATTCCGTGGACATATAGAACTACTGCGTATATTTAGAATCAAGATAAGTTCATTGGACACAATTTACACCTATAGAAAAGTATTTCATTTGTCCGTTAGACGGCATCAAATTTAAAAAAAAAATAACACATTTTTTAAGATATTTTAAGAACTGATATTCCGATTTCAATGAGTTTTGGTAGACACACCAAAACTCATATGTTTTGCTAAGCACTTTAACATTTGACTCACAAAAATCAAGAAAATGTACAGGAAAGGCGAAAACTACCCCCACCCCTACATAAATTTTAGTAGAAGTATTTTCCTACTCCACGGACAACTGATTTTTTTCCGTAAAATGGTTCTCATAGTTTTTACTACGTTTCTTTTTGTCTCTTGTAAAAAGAAAACGCCACCGCGCATACTTTTTGAGCGAAATAATTTTTTTTTCGAATCTGACTTCCAAAAAATATTTCTTGTCACATTAAGCCCTATAGTATAGGCGCCTAAAATCTAGTATGCTCTAATAATCTAGTTGGCGAAAATGGGAATTGGAATTTTATGTTAGTCTCACCCTTGTCTATCCATAATCAAGGGTATCACAAATGATATTTGAAAATAAGCTTCATAAATTTTAAATTAATTAACGTTCGGGTTAATTTTTTATTGATACCCTCTAACGGACAAACGAAGCACTTTTGTATAAAGGTAAATCGTAGCCAATTTATTTATTTTGATTAAAAAAATACGTAGTTGTTTTATGTCCACGAAATATTGGAACTCCCTGTATATTTTGTAGGTCTGCTTTGGCAAACCAAAAACATGCGATGTGACGGTTTTTTAAAGAGACAAAAAATGTAGTAAATACTATATACAGGGTGCGCCTCAAAAGTGGCTCACCCCTATAACTTTTTTATTTTTCCAGATAAAACAACGAGATTTGGTATGTTAGTATATGACATAAATTAGGATTGATAGACATTTAATTGTTTTCGGTCACTTGCGGTTTCACCGGAAATGACTACAACTTTTGATTTTCAAATGACACCCCATTATTTTTTTTACTTTATTCGATAGAAAATGACACTCTGAATAGAAAGACATATCATATGTCAACTTGACATTTTCGCATATGGTTTATTTCAAATTATAACATGCGGTTCATAACGACAATTTGACTCGAAATACCAGGTGTGTGGTACCTATCAAATTATCGTAAAAAAAATGCTTTTTCCAAAGATGCTAATGAGCCACCCTTGTTCCATTTGAAAAAATTGAGATATGATTAAAAATACGATTTGGGCATCTTTTAACCGGCCAGGACAAGACAGTAAAAACATTAGACGATCAAATCTATTTTTCCAAGGCTTCTTCATTAAAGATTAGTGTTTTTAACACAGCCATGGCACTCTAGATTAAAATTTAAAATACATATTTCGATTCAGAATGTCATTTTCTATCGAATAAAGTAAAAATATATCCATCCAGGGTGCCATTTAAAAATCAAAAGTTTCAGTCATTTCCAGTGAAACAGGAAGTGACCGAAAACAATTGAATACGTCAATCAATCCTAATTTATGTCATATATTAATATACCAAATTTCGTTTTTTATGTGAAAAAAAAAGTTATAGGGGTGAGCTACTTTTGAGACGCACCCGGTATAAGGACCATTTCACGGGAAAAAAATCGGTAGTTAGTGGAGTAGGAAAATATTTCTACTAAAATGTAGATAGAGGTGGGGGTAGTTTTCACCCTTCCCGTACATTTTCTTGATTTATTACAATCATTCATTTAATATTGTACGAGGTGCTAATAGAAAAATGACAAAATTTAGATTAATATAGTCGATTATTTTAAATTATTGTAATCTCCATTTGGGTTCTTTTATTTTATACATCAAAAATAAATGCAACTACTTTATGTATACCTAAATATAACACTTTTCGAAATATCTGCATGTTACATTTTTCCATTTGCCAAAATATTTTAGTGCTTTTGGGTTCCATCTACCAAATGTGCATTTGGATTTACTATTTTCCTTGTTTAACAAAAAACACCAAGTTCGAATCTCCCTGTATAATTTTTTACCGTTAATGACTTGGTAAAACATCTGTTCAGGTTTCGTTGAAGTAATACTTCTACACTAGAACTCTCTAATTTCTTAGGTAAATCATCCTCTATCAGTATTTGAACAATTTCTTAACATGCGTTTAAGTTAAATGAAATGTTACATTCTCCCACAGACACAAATAAGTGTGGCATCAAATCCTTTTTCATTTTTTATCAAGGATTCTGTTTTGTGCATTATGGCAGAATATTCACGCTTGCATAAATTAGTTATTTTTAATTTTTTTATATGAAAAACAGTGGGGTCTAAAGCTTGATTTTCATGCATCCGTTATCCGTTGATACGATGGTCCGACGATGCTCCGATCGGTCATAGCGTTTTCACGCTACTTTTCATCCGTAAATTTTTTACTCCAGTCC